AGATAATAACATGAGGAATTGTTTTTTCACACAAGCACAGAGGAAGTATACAAGAAAGAAGTCTTCTCCCTTCTGATGCCAGTCTGGGGTAGGATGCTTTACAACATTGTTACCGTACACCCATCTCTATCCAGATGGATTATTCTGCTGTTGTTCGTGTCCTTCAGCTGAAAGCATCCATGTGAAATATGAAATGTTCCTTCCAGAAGCCCTCACATACCCTCTGGAAGCTCCCAAGATACCACAGACTGTGCTTCCCCTTCCTCATCCTGCAGCACTGACATTCCTCATTCCTGACATCCTATGGAGTATCACTACAAATGTATTAGTTTCAGAAACCACTCTAATTTTAGGAATTGCCATCAGCAGCAATCCCTGTGTTTTTCCCAGTGCATTTTCTACCTCCTTCTCCTTCATAAATAAAATTCAAGCAATATCTATTCCTTAGAGAACATGTAAAATAATCAGATATGAAGTGTGTCTGTTCAATTCCCATCTTACCTGGCATTGAGGAGGAGGAGGGTGTTTGCACAAGTGCTGTCAAGACCAAGTGAAAGTAGTTCAAGACAGAGCTAACATCTTCAACTAGAGAGGAACTCCCTGCAGCTATGTTCTGTGATCTCTTGAAATATGTGCTGTGGAAGATACTGTCTGTATCAAGAATTTTAATAAAATCTACTTTCCTGTCTTTTAAACATGGCCTTTCTGACCTTATGAAAGAGAGATGAAGAAAACCCCAGACACATACGTATCCTCTGTGCTGGTCCTGATTATGCACTCTAGATTTTTGCTATTAACAGACTAAAAGAGAAGAGCTAGCTTTGTAAATGCTGAAATACTGCCAACAGCTGTACCCTTCCTTCTTCAAGCAGATGGAGAAAGCTACCCCTGGGTGCTGTATGCTCTGTTTAGGAAAAAAACAAAATGAGAAAAGTGAAATACTTAAAACTCCTCCATGGTTCTCCACGCAGCATGACGAACAAATACAGGAGGGGCAAAGAAAACCATCACCCTGAGTGGCCCAGAGAGAAAACAAGTTTCATAAGCATGACATGAAAAAGTCATGAACTCATCTCACCATGAGTGAAGAAGTTACAGTTTTTCAGAGGAAAAAGCAGCCTCTGCACATTTTGGAGCACAGAAGGAAATGAATGGCGACATTTCAACCACACACTTCACCTCCCTCCTTCCACTGAACCAAGGAGCAACCCCACCTCCCTCTTTCCCTAGGGTGCCTCCCTGTGAGGGAGGGAATTGCAGGGGTGAAGGAGTGAAGCCATGACCCCTCAGGACAGCTCATGGTGTGTGCAGCTCACTCCTGGCCAGATCACCTCAACCCCCTGCCCTCTCACCAGTCTGATGGCAGAACCAGCAGTGAGCATCAGTAACCCCTCACTGAGCACCAGCACCCAAGCTCAGCCACCTGGCCCCTGCCTTGGGATCAAGAAACATCCACAAACTCATCCATGTCCCAAGAAATATCTGCCAGGATTTCCCCATCACTCACAGCCATGTTAAGGGGGTGACTCCTCTCCCTTGAAGGGGGGATCCCTAGGAAGGTCCTGTCCTTATCCTGCAGCTCTCTCAGCAAAGGGAAAAGCCACCTCTGTTCCCCCAAGGCATTTAAGTCATAGATCTGGGAGATTAGACAGACACTCCTGAGCTTGAGTGAAAGCTAAATATAGGAGCATCAGACAGGGATGACAAATACACCTACCCATGTAGCTCAGTGACTAAGAAAAGAGCAATTTATCTTCCTACAGATTCATCAGATCAGCTCAGAGCTTGCCTCTTGCCTCAACACTCCTTTGGAGGATAAATGTATATCTCAGACATACCATCTTTGCCTCAGGTTTCTTTAATTTATTTACCTCTTTGGAGTTTCATCTGCTTTTCTCAAGGTTCTTCTTCTACAGAAAGAAACTCCAAATCACACTATACACTGATGATGGGTTTTTATTTTTCTGTTCAGTGCTATCCCCTTTCTATGAGGTAGACAAACCCTGCTCTGTGTTACTCTGGCCCTTGAAAAACATGCCAACAACTTGGCAAAGATCAGTGTAACTCCTGCACAGTCTATACCAACACCTGTACCCTGGTTTAAACCATGATCCATAATTTATCCTAATTCATGTGGTTGTTTTTCTAACACTTCCATGTAGACTGGCACTGAATTTAACCTCTTGAGACTGCAGTCATTGTGGCCCATCAAGTCACCATCCATCCCTTCATTACTCAAATTCCAGCTCTGGCCTTCCTTTTCCTGGTAATTCAATTCTTTCTTTGCACTGTAAAATGCATTGGTAAGGTTCCAGAATAGGTAACTGAACAACAGCACAACACTGCTAGGAAAGGTCAAAGCAGGATCTACATGCACTCATCTGTACCTCCTAAAATTCCACCCAGCTAAAGGAGGACAGTCCTGTTTTCTCTGGAAATGGATCACTTCACACTGACCTGCACTCTCACCTTGATTTTCCCACTTGCACTCCCTGCAGAGAGCACAGCTGCCACAGGGCAAGTGGCCACAGGCTCAGCAGGACTCAGTTGACTTCATTTAAAGCAGCCTAATCCCTAGACACACACTTTTTGGGGAAGGAATTGTGAAATTCCCAACTGTGTTACACCCTTTTCTCTTTTGCTGACACATCCTGACAATGTGATTCTCCTGGAAGAAGAGAGCAAGTGCCCTGCAGCACTACCAAGAATCAGTTAAGGAACCACAGATGACCTCTGAAAAAGGATTCATTAACAATATTTTCCACCTATATTCCTGTCATAAGGAAACATTTTGTCAAGGATAAAAATATACACTTTCATTATATTTTCTGAGGTTCTGGAATTCAGTAAAATAAGGAGTTCAAGTTCCTAAATTTTAACAGTTAATAAAGGCTCTGTCTTCCCTGGAGTTCCAGTTAATTTTTCTTTTAAATATCTTATTTCCACCAGAGCCCAGGGCAGTAAATCCCAAAATTAATTACATGGAATGGCAAAAAATCTCCTTTTGATTTAAAACTGCTATCAGATATCATTGCACCTGTGGAGGGAATTATGAACAATAGTCAATGCACATTGTTTCAGATTCTAGAAGCACTTGTCAGTACAGTTTGTCACTTTATCATTATTACTGGAGGAATTTAAGAGCACTAATCTGGTCATTTATAGATTTAAGTATTTCTACCTTAAGCTCAGTGAAGAAATACAGTAAATTATGGTAACTGAAGTCTCATTCTGCTCAGTGCTGGTGAGCACCTGGAGATAAAGCAAATCTTGACAAGCAGTCAGGGCCTTTTTTCTTACAGAAGCAGCCCCCAAAAGCCACAAAGCTGAGTGGGATCAGGTTCACAGCCACAACGATGCTACTACTTTACAATACTTCTTTCTCCAGTGTGACATACTATTACCCTTTGAGAGGAAATTCTGAAGCTACTTACCTTAAACTTGTCCAAGTGACTTTGCAATGCTGTTGAAGCCTAAATCAAATAATAAAATACAGCAGCTCCTTTTTAGATGTTAGTACTGTATATATTCATCTGCCAATAAACATCACCCAGCAAGGCTGACTTGAAGGATGCTGAGCTTCCTGCAGGGCTGTTCTGTCCTGAATCACAGCAGCCCCCACCTGGTGGCAGCACAGTCACACACAGAGACCCATACATGGAAGAAACAGAGCTTTGAATTAAAAAAAAAAAAAATTTGCCTGCTGCTTATGTGGAATGAATTCCTTTATTTTTCTCACGCCTTTGTGTGCTGCCAAGTTTCCTTTTCCTACGGAAACTCCCATCGTTAATAGACAAAAGCAAGATTTGAAATCCTGCCTGTTCCACTTGCCCCTGAAGGTGTTTAACTGGAACACTTAATTGATGTACAACACTTGGCTGAGAAACACTCTTTTCTAAGCCACTTGAGATGCAATTTTTCTGCTAAGACTTCTCTCTAACTATTCTAATTCCCAAGGATCACTAAAATGGGTCTAAGAAAGTAATGCTCTAGCTCTAATAAATAATTGCCTGTTAGACAGTCACCCCTCTGTTTATTTATAGCTTAAAATAACTTCTTATTCTAAGCATCCCCTTATTTTCCAAAAATCTGCCACTTTTTTATGGTGACTACTGATTCTCCAGCCTTCAGAGGATGACTGAATGTTACATAACCTTCAAATCACTGAGTGAACAGTGAAAATGAATACTCTTCCATACATTGTTTCTGTATTGATGTATTTCATGACTGCAATCGCATACCTTTAATAATTAAATTTAGTTTTTATTAAGCATGACCTCACAAAGGAAGAGACAAAAACATTTTATTTAATTTCTGCATTTTATTCTGAAACCACTCATTTTTAGGGCTAAAGATCTCCCAGGTAAAAGTAAGTTGAAAGGATGAAACAAAGTGCCATGAATCAGTAATTCAAAAGCATTCTTCTGCCATACAGGAAAAGAAATCATGTCATGTTTTGCTATACAAAAAAATGAACAAAAAATTGTACCCAGTATATGAAGATATAGTTTGGATCAGAGCATAATTTAGATCATCAGTTTCTTCTGAATTCTATTTCTTGGTTAAGGAAAACCCCAACTTCCTTTGCTGTATATTTTTTTAAGAACTAATAAAAAAGAAAACAGGAAAATGCAACTTGCAATTACGGACCAAAAAAAAGTAATGCCCCTTAATGTATGAGTTTTTAGACAGAAAATTAACAACTAAGCTTAGATTTGCTTCATCTTTTGTGTACTTTGTGATAAACCTGTTTGGAAGTACTATTAAAATGAAAATTGCATCCTGATTTACATCAGTTTCTTTTATGACTGAACTCGTCTTCTCTAGGCTAGCAAACCAGCTAGCAAATCAGCTTTTTCAGAAACACAGGAACATTTTCCAAACTGTATTTCAGTACACCTGTACTCACGTTAAGGAACAGCCTTGCAAAACATGCATACAAGACATAACTAATTTTTAGACTAATAATACCTCGTCCTCTGAAAGACTTCTAGAAATACTTAATCATTCAACAAAACAAGCTTGTGGAGCTGATAAACAAGATTTCCTCTTCCATGCTGCTTTTCAGACTCGTCAATAATGCACTGAGAATCCACCTAGCCAAAAGAAGCAAGATGAGAGTCAGAAAGCATTCTTAATGTTTTTCTATATAACATAGCTAAGAAAAAGTCTTCAAGAGCTCTGAGTTTTAAATCATACAGGAATTTCAGTTCCATGCCACACGCTGCAAGAGAAGAGCCAGGGCTACAAAATGCTCTGTCTTATGGTTTGCCATGATTTTAGAACACTATTCCACGTTCAATTCCAATGCATTACAGGCAATATTTTATGATCTAAGATGTCCTGGGATTCTTCAGATGCAGTGGAGAAAATCCTGACCCAAGGCCTACACATTAGCTTGTTATAAAAGATAAATTCCAGCAGAAATGAGTATATTATCTTCATAAATCCAAGGATAACTGAATGTGAAATATGAAAATGGAAACACTTTGGCCTAAGGCAGTATATCACAACACACTCTAAAAAAATGCCTTTTAGAAATAAGTGCCCTTGGTGTTTGTTCTCTGTTGTCCCTCTTTTCAAGGGTGACCCAAACCCCTCCTTTATGGGCTGCAGGGTGGGATAGGCACAGGCAGGGTGGGTGTAGCACTTTTATTCCTGCACTAATTCCTCACCCCCTTTTTAATTAAGAAACTCTACTTGCTCTCCAGGAAATTCTGTGGCCTGCAAAGGCCTTTACAGAAAAAAAGGTAAGATTTCTAACAGAGTAGTAAGCTAGGAGAGTTTTCTCATGAAACCCTCCTGGGTCTTGAGAAAACTGCCCTCATGCCTGACCCCACCACATTTGTTCTAAAACAAGCCATGTTTCTGTCTGCCTAGAAGGGAAAAGCCACCTCAAACCACAGCAACCCAAAACAAAACTAAAATGCACTGCATTCAGGAAAATGTAGCTACAGCTGCTTAACAGAAAAAACAAAAAATTTTAACTTCCCACAAATGTGAAGTTAAACAACCTCTCTCACCTTAACCTTGGGAAGTTCTGTTTAAAAATACTAAATATTTATAGACACAAAAATAAAAAAAACCCAAGCCACCCAACAACTAAACAGACTTGAAAAAAACAGGGTATCAACAGCCATAAGTGATTACATAAATAAAAGTTCTTATGCTTTAAATTTAACCCTACAGTGCTTTTGGTATTTTCAAATTTAATAACCTTTCAACACTCTTAACTAACTGTACTGGAGTACTCAAACTCCTCAAAAAACCAACCAACCAACAAAAAACCCCACAAAAAACCACAAAAACAAAACATCAAAACCAAAACCAAACTAATGAATAAATCAAACCAACCAACCAACAAAAAAAAAAAAAAAAAAACCCCCCACCCCACAAAACTTGAAAATTTATACCCTTACCTGATTCCATGCATATGGCTTCTCATACCAGATAGGATCAATTATGTCTCGAGGCTTTGATTTGCAGATTAAACTGAAATTACATAAATACAACCTTGAGAAATACAATTGTATTTGGTTCATTACAAAGACAAAGGATTTTTTTATATGAGATACAACCAGGTATTCACAAGGTGTCTGTGCTAAAGGGAATCTTAAATTTCCCTCTTAATCTAGTCTGATTTTTCACTTCTCTGTACTTTGCCTATCCAGTGGAATAAGTCAAAATAGAAATTTTCACAGGGACGTATCATGTATCAGAATGTATCTTCTTCTAAAGAAAGTAATGAGATTCCTTTTAAACAAAGCACTAGAATTTGCAACTGTAATTTATTCCTTACATTTTATGTATGCTTACTCACTAGAATGTATAATACAGCTATTTTTAGGGTATTTTGTTTTGCATGACAACTCAATTACTATAGATTGTCTGTCTGCTCCAGTTATTTCCCCAAGCTGTGCAAAGTACAACAGTAGTAGACATTAATTAATTCTGTCTAGATGTGTTTTTCAAAAACTGATTTTAGTCTTAAGTAGTGGTGACATGTTGTAAATACAATTAGCTTTTGAAAAATGGAAAACAGTAATGAAAGATTGCTCAGGCTAAATTTTTACCTATGTAATTGAATTAATAAATGTTTTTTCCAAAACACAAAAAGTACAATTGGAAAAAAAATACTCAAAACCAAGAAAGCTTTTACACAAGGGAAAAGAAGAAATCATTACAATAATCAGACCGTTTATTACTTCAAATAAAAGCACACAAGAATAATATAAAAATTTAAATAAAAATATCTGTAGGATGCTTGGAAGACAACCAATAAATGTACAAAAATTCTAGGAGAGAAAAGGCTACCACAGAAAGGTAGAAAATCCTGCAGACAAAAAGCCCGGGGCTGATGAGAGTGACCGAGTCAGGCAGTCGGCGCTGACTGAGCTGGGAACACATCAGTGCCCAGGACCTGTGCCAAGGTCTGACCCTTCTCCTCCCAGCTGGCTGGAGATGTCTGAACAATCAGCCCAAAATAGGTGCCCAAACTGTAGCAAGTATTCACATGTCTGAACAAATAGCAGTGACATTTTAGTGCCTTCAATTTAACGTGTAAGTGTTGATGTCCCAGCGTGAGCTGTTACTGTCACAGTCACCTCCAGACAGGGGCTGTGGCTTTGCCTCTTTCTGCCTATCCTTGACTTCTCCATTGCTTGTGCTCTTTTAATTTCATTTCTAGTGCCTCAAAAGATAAGGCTGACTTGTTAATTTACTATGGAATGCACCCAAATTTTATTTGGAGTTTTGGAAATAGGAAGTATGGGTGTTTGCTTTTAACTTCAGGCAATTTAATAGGTTTTTTTCACAGATAAGAGAGCAGGTACTTTCAAAACCAAGGAACACCTGAAAAATCAGCATGAACAGCTGCTCTGATAATCATTCTGATAACCCTGGGTAGGAGCAGGGTTCTGATATTTATCAGCACAATGAACTGCCTAACTCTGACATCAAGCAGTTACTTCAGCAAAGCTCTATTGGCAAAAAAAGGTCTTACTTCTTAGAGATGAAGCTGGTAAAAGTTATGTTACGGCCTCTGGACCAGAATTCTTTTTAAGATAGCTTAGTAGAGAGCCAGGTCAGGATGAGAAAATTCTCCTGATGATATAGACAGCACTAAAATTCATGCTGAGTGTACAAACAAGGGAAGATTTTTCACATTATGCTCAGCAGAGACAGACAGAATGAGCTGTTCTGGGATATATCGCTGCACTCCTTCTCCCAAACTACAAGCTGAAAAATTCTTCAGGCTGGCTGCACTGAATCACAATGGTCTTTCACAACCTCCTTCACTTCCACGAAGAAGGGAGGCTGGCAGGGCAAAAAGGCAGGTGGCTCTACTTCAGTTCCTAAATTTGCCTGGGACTTCCAATTCACTTGGCCAACACCTATTCTGCACAGGTCTGCTGAGGGAGGAAAAGCAGCATAGATGATTCAAATGTAATGTAGAGGAAGAAAGATTTAGAATTCTTTCTGCACTGTTATGCCATAGAACTCCATTAGCTTTGTCCTGGGTGCAAAAAATAAGGATACATAAAAGCTGATATCCTGTAGAACAGGTTTTACAGTGTAGGTTTTATTACTCTGAAGTGATTTGGCTTCCCTGAAGAACCAGTGCTTCCACAAGAAGTCTGAGGTTGTTTAGTATACTGCTTTATAAATAAACAAAATAAATGAAATGCATTATTAAATGAGAGCATATATTATTTTTCCAAAGCCTAACCTGAGCTATGCTTCAAGCAATCACTCATATTTGCTGAGACTGTGAAACAGAAGATCTTGTTTTTACAAAATCATTACCATAGAAGCTTCTGACGAATATCCTCCTGCAGCTGTGCCACTTGCTCTTGCCCAGAATGCAGTGCTTGCTCACAGAGCAGCTTATTCATGGCTGTCCTCAGACTGTTTATCTGCACAACACCAGTTACAGAATACAAAGCACTTTAAACCAGCACAAGGTCTGTATCATATTACACTGACATGAAGGTGGCTATGGCATCCTGAACTTCATTGAACTTCAACTGGACTAGTATTTCCATAAGTAAAAACAGCTGAAGTTTCAGAAATGGTTCTTCCTGCAGCTGCACCTCTGGTGGTCAGTGATGTTAATATTTCAGCCATCTGGTATCACAATTTTTAAGGTTACTCAGATATACCATAAAACATACAGGCTACCACTTGCCTGGACTTTTTCCAAAGCAGAATTCCTTCTGTGAAAGTTTTAAGCATTTTCACACTCTGTCCATAATTTTTCACATATACAGCAGCTTGGCGGTACCATTCTGGCTAAGGCATCATGAATGCAGCCAGCACACCCAAATCAGTGCTTTCAGAAAATAACAGTTCACAGATGTGTGCACCAGCATATCCACTGTGTCCTTGGAAAACCTTCAGGAACCACCCCAAGCATCTGCTGTGCACACAGACCTAACCAGGGTGCGTCCTTCACTGTCTCAGGCACGTGTCAAACACAGCCACTGTCCTGCACAGGTTATGTACATGCTTCCCTCTGACAGACCTCACTCTCTCAGCTGCAGAAGGCAGTAATGAGGAGTGCAGGGGCTTTATTGTTTGTTTGGCTGATCTGCTCTGAGATGCATCTCAACAGAGACGACTTATCAGAGCTGTAAAATCAAACTGAAGCCTGCAAAGCAGCAGCGCTCTGCCTGTCAGTAACAGTCAAGAACAAAACTAGTAAGCATTGACTTCCAGTTAGTGCAAAATTGATGATTATATTTTGCAAAGTATGTAACATTCTATAGCATCTTATTTGTTCCAAGTGTAGGGACAGGGCCACTGCTTCTCCTGATAAAAATCCAAGATCATAAAGGAGCACAATGAAAAACCCAAACAAACAAAACCAAAGAAAAACCCAATACACAAACCATAAAAAACCCCAAACCCCACAGTCCAAACGAGCTTTTCTATTAACACTAAAAATAACAAGCTCAGATGCACTGACTTCTACTGAATTCCTATTGTAGTGAAAATTCTTACTCAAGTTTTACCTCTGTTATGTCCTCCAGTCCAAAATGCACATCAAATGTCACCTCCATATCATTTGCTGGAAACAGCGGAGCCCCAGATGTCTGATTCCAACCCAAACCACACAGAACACCAGTAAAATACTTCCCACTTTTATCAACTCTACATGAGAAAGAAAGAGAACAGTCTCATCAAGAGATGAAGAAACAAAACTCTTAGGAAGACAGACTTAAATGAATTTGTCCAAGCCACACAAAGTAAGATATGTGTTTGAAAGAAGCTAAAACAATTGAGAGGCATTCACACTCAGTCATACTGGTTTTTAAAATATACAGTGATGATATAAAACTGAAGCTCTGCTTATAAAAACATAGACTCACAAAACTTACCAAAAAATCATACATAAGCAAAACAAAGGAAAGCAAGCTTCACTATTTTGAAATTAAAGTCTGCAAATACCAGAAATTCAAGAAAACACAACAGTGATGCCACAGCCAGAGCTCAGCTTTTCCAAAAAATTATGCAAGTTCCTCTCCCCATGTAGATTTAACATTCCCAGTTTACCACTCTATCTTCCCAGGCTTCCAGCACAACTATCAGGAGCTGTAATGCCTTATCATGAGAGGAGACTGCAGCACCAATTCATAAGTACATGAACAAGTTATTTTACCTACACACTATACTAAAACTCATTAAAAAATACCAGGAAGAGAACACATAAAATGCTAAAAGAAAATAAATAATACCTGTCAAAAATCTGTGAGGATCATAAAGAAAACAATAAAAGAACCACCACTTTAAAACGCACAAATACCTGAGTTCTATTGCAGGAGCAAACAGCATACTGAGGAGTGCAAGCAGGCCATGAATGGGAGGCATCAAAGATGTTTCACCTAAAATCACACACCCTGGCACAAAAAGAAAAAAAAATTCAAATAACTCGAAGGAGCATTTAATGAAAACGACACCTCAAAAAGATGTAACACAGAACTCCAGGGACACATTTACTCATAGAACTACTCATATAAAACCAGCAGTCTAGAGAAACCATCCAAATGTTTTTATTAGGCATTACCAGCTGCAGTTACTGATACATCAGTGGCGACCAAGAGCTGCTGAAAGGGATCTTCTGCACCATCATGGACAACAATGGAGTTTATGCTGTCCTTATGTATGAAAACATTTCTGGGGAAGAAATATTTTCAACAATAAAAAACTGCAAAACTCATAAAAACATGTTTTAAATTCAAAACAGAAACTCAGAACAGCTGTTTACTGTTAGCACATTTAAATGACAGTTAATAAACAATCTCTCTGTGAGACAATAATGCACCTTAAGACTACTCTAAGATTTTAAATAGCAATAGCATGTGTATTAATGCAATTCAAGCTTGACTCCTTCAGTCTTTTCAATGAATAAAAATTCTGAAAAAATCTGTAAGAGTAACTAGGTGTTTTTTGCCTAGTTTATTTATTGAAAATAAAAGATAAGAACATGACTATACTTCCCAATAAAAGTCTTCTCATACCTGAATTGGGATATTTTGGTCAGACTGTAGCATTTCAACTGGTAAGGACTGAACGGACCACAAACTGTTACCTTCAAAAAAAGGGAGAGAGAGACTGTAGATCTGGCCAGCACCTGGATCTCTTCAGATCTAAATGCTTTATAAATTAAAGCCGAATGCACTTCAGCATGTACTGAGCAACACTGAGCTGTTAAATGGGTAAATTTAAATGGGTAAATGGGTGCTTCCATTTCACTCATCTAAAGCAAACTTTGCTTGTTGAGGCACCTAACTAAAATTATCTGTTTTCACAGGTGCTGCAGATTCACAACTTTCCTCTTGCTTAAAAACATAAGTTCAGACTTCATAAATCACTGAAGAAAACCAGGTAATTTTATTTACATGATGAGGTCTTTAATCTTGAAAATATCTCACTTTATGAAGCAGGCAGTTAAACAGGATTACTCCTGTGGATAAATGGAGAATGATTAGGTGCTTGAAAGCCTGAAATTTTGTCACATCTGAAATGGAAAAAATAATCAGAATGTAGATGAGGCCTAACTTGTCATCACAATGCAAAACAGGACACACATCTTCCTCTTTTATATTCCAACTTAGTAGTGACTAGATAGCTCAAAACACATTTCTGAGTTTGGCACTGGCAGAGGAAAAGCATCATTACCATCAGTTACTGGAGTGTTCACTGATGCACCTACCCCAGCTGCTTACCTATCACTAGCTGATGATAGGTAACTAGACACTGTGTACAGTAAAAAAAAAACATGTTTAGACTTTCTGAAAAACTGATAGGGTTGTAAACTTGCTCTTTTGCTATATAATGAAGACTACCATGTAGGGAAACATCACATTCAGCTGTTCAGTTTTATCTCTGTTCTGCCTGAGTTCCAAGTGCTGCTTTATTAGAAGAGCAGGACCACTTAGCTCTCAGGCTGTAATTCAGAACTCTGTTCAAAGCTGCAGCACACCAGTCTGAAGCAGTGGTGACACTATGGCTTCCTACCAACAGAAAGCAGAGTGAATGAAACGCCGTATGAAATGCACCAAACAGAGCTTTGTTATTTGTGGTACTTTCAACCCTCATCTCCATTCTAACAATGTGAGAAGCAAGGTCAAGTGATGACAGGGCAAAACCACCACTCAAGTTACCTTATGGGTTGGTGCATCAGATTTCTTTTCAGAAAAGGAGTTCAACAATTTTTCAATGAGACACTTTTCTTCCTGTCTTGCAGATACAGGCATCTGCTCTTCCTTCTTTGCTCCATCCAAAAATAATTCCTTGAGCAAATCATGGCTTTGCTACAAAATAATGGAAGTGTTAAAAGCCTTGAACAATTATTTCTTCAAAAATTTTAAGAAGAAGGGCCTACACAAACATTTGCACATAAACACAAAAAAAAAGTTCTGATGACCTTTCAGATGACATAAAACACCAAAATGCAAGAGTGTTAAAACTATGAAGCAGTTATAGTTTTTCAGAATTTCAAGTAAGACTGGAGCAGTTCAACTGAGGAAATAATTTCCCAGGAAACATCTTTTGCAGAAGGGGTCTCAAAGAAGCAATGCTTTCGGCCAGCAGCTCAATATGCATTATGCACACATCTAAAAATACACTGCCCTATTCAAGTATTAACCTTGCCACCAGTCAAGCTGCAGCTCAGCTTCTCAGGACAGCCAGAACTGAAATAGATCAGAGCAAGACAAGCAGCAGCAGCTCAGCCAGGCCATACCTGTGACTCGTGTGACTCCTCTGCCAGGTCAGCGTGACACTCCTCGATGAGCACGTCCCGAATGTTCACCAGGCCCCTGCGGCCCGAGTGCCGGAACACGTCCACGTGCAGCACGCCGTGCACGAGGGAATAAACCTCCACCAGCAGAGTGCAGCCGCTGACCAGAGAGGCAAATCTCTGGCTGGCACTGCAGCTCCACGGCTCCCCACACACCAGGGATCTGGCAGAGGGACACATCTTGCAGATCTTGAACTCTAAAGCCTAGAACAGAAACACTGGAAACAGCGCTTGCCTGACTAGAGAACCAGCAAGGAAATCTTTCACTCTCTCAACTGTGGCAGTTTCTGGGGTCCCCAGGACGAAGGAGGAATGATTGAATCTGACTCCATGTTCTTAGAAGGCTAATATATTATGATATTATATTAAAGAATGCTATACTAAACTATACTAAAGAAGAGAAAAAGGATAGAGACAGAAGGCTTAAGAAGAATGATAATGAAAACTCGTGACTCCTCTTCAGAGTCCGACACAGTTGGACAGTGGTTGGTCATTAAGTAAAAACAATTCACATGTTGGCTAAACCATCTCCAGCCACATTTCAAAGCAGCAAAACACTCTGAGGCTTCTCAGCTCTAAGTCTTCTCCTGGGAAGCTTCTCAGCTTCCCAGGAGAAGAATCCTGGGCAAAAAGGATTTTTCAGAAAATATCACGGTGACACTCAAAAACTTATGTTAACTCCTACAGCTGCTCTAAAGCTACTGGCATAATTCCTACTGCATCACATACTGTGTGCCAACACATGACAGCTCACATCTCTTCAATATAGTACACAGTTGCTAAGGAATCAGAGCAAACAGTGCATAAAGGATAATTTGGTAGTAATTCACTATTCACACTAAAATCTTAGGAGCACAGAGATGTCTTCTCTGGAAAAAACTTTAGTCTACAACTGTTTTCAACTAAGGTAACAGAAAATTTGGTAAGACCACTACAGCTCCTCTGTCCCTGGCTGGAAAGAGTAATTAAAGTTCCCATGCCCACAATCACTATCTGTAATTATGTCTTTGAATGAATTTACAGCAGAAACCCTGGGTTTTTGCTAGCTAGTCATTAAAACTGGTCATTAAAAGATCAGGCCTGAAATACATTTCCATTTAGTAAGTGCGCAGAAAATACAAAAAAGGATGCTTCTTGCCAAAATTATTTTTTTTACATCAATTACTGAAGAAAACCAAACAAAATTAGCCCTGTCAAGATCTAATCTTATTTCTGCTGGTCCATTTCTCATATTCATCATTAAATGCTTCTGAAAATACCATTAGTATGACACAACTGTTTCTACTAGCTTAAAAATATCTGACTGAGCACTGCACAACTGAATTACAATTAAGGTATAGTTACTTTATTTGTAAATACAGCTCAAGAGAATTATTTCTCTGAAAAACCAGCTATAAAATCCCTCTAATTTGTGTCAAAAGATGACTAGATCTGTAACACTCATAGGTAATCATCAAGAGAATTCTGTCTGAAAAGATCCCAGGAAAGCCAGCAGTTCAGAGAACAGCAAAGCAGCATGAAAAGAACCCACAGCTATACAAAATTAGAATTTCTCAGCAATTAAATATAATGTAGTTCAATTACATACAAGAATTTCTGCTCTGTAAATATGCGCACCCCTGGAATTTTATTAGTGAAGGTGATTGGAAGGTACTTCCATCAGAAAAATATGTATTATTTAAGTATTATTCTGAAAAGCATCCTGGCTTGAAGTTCACTCCTGTTTGCCAGGCCAGACACAAAAATATCCAGCAAACCACAGCCAATAGCATCATCCCTACCTGGAAAGGAAGGCCCTGAAGACACCTTGGAATCTCTTTTAGTTTATTTAACGGCACTTCTGATCTATTGCCATAATCCACAAAAAAAACCTGGAAAAAGAATCAAGAGTATCTGCAAAAATTCCACAACATTAAAAGTGCTACCTTTAATGGCAAGAAAAGTCACGACTTGAGTTTAAAAATTGTAGTACAACGCAAATCTTATCAAGTCACATGGAAGTAAATTCAAAGTCTAGAAAGTATGCAAATGAAGTCACGTCAAAAAGAATACATCAAACTTTACCACATCTATTATCTGATCCCTTGGCATAAATATCTGCTTGTAATGCAAATAATCCACTAAATCTAGAAAAGGCAAGTTTCTCTGAAAGACTCTAAATTCTCTCCCCACACTAAGATCTGTGTAACCCTTGCTTCTTCAGTGAGAGATACTACCAACAACTGCTTTTAGCTAAGCAATGTGAACATGTATTCAGTTACTGTTTATAAATTCAAATAAAAAATTGATGAGATTAGCACTACTATTTACTCATTTTTCATCACTTTAAACCATGACAATACTCAGTATTAACTCCATAGTGGTGACTCCCAGACAGGTTAAAAAATAAAAGGAATTCAAAAGCCAATCTTAAAAACATTTTAAAATCTGTCCTAAAAACGCTGAAAAATATTGGCCTGAAAAATCAATACCAATCTTGAACTGTGGCACTAATTTCCATTACTCATATCAGCACAAAGAGCCAAAATATCTACATTAATTTCTTGATGATATAGAGCTCAGCAGCATAAACACCATTCAAAAAAACCCCACGTTTTCTGATTCACTGGAGATTTTAGTTTTCATTTTACTTCAATCTACAAGAACTTCTCAATTTAATACTAAAAATTCCCGTGTTCTGGAAAAGAAACAAATTAATCTACTCTGGCCAGAGTGATTTGTAGAAAAAATAAACAAAAAAACCAGGCAGCACAGCTCCAAGATTGTTAACCCAATTACATGCTACCAATTCAATATGACACAGCACATTACCTCAGCAAGATCCCCATGAACATACAGAACGTGAGCTCTGTAGTATCCTCTCTTTCCCAGATAAGTGAATGGTGCCAGACAAAGCACATCTACACAGGGAGGCACTGCTAAATCCATCAGGTTCTGATAGTCAATCTCAGCACCTAGAGCCCGGAGTACGGCTGTGTTTTTTTCATCTGTCCTGTAACCCCAGAAGTGTCCAACTTCTACTACCTGCAAGTATAAAAATTAGATACTAACAAATTTCATATTATTCTTCTACATCAAATACAAACCACATCTGTGCAAAATACATGAAAACACTCCTACTCCTGGCACAACAGTTCACACACACTGCAACAATGTGGTGAAGAATTTCTGTCTCATAATTCGTCTTTCTTGGAAAATATTTATTTTCTGCACTGCAACACACTTTTCATCTGAACAGATTCTGAGACAAGCATTACTAAAATACAGGGACTACTTTCATTTTCCTAAACCAAGTTAACATACAGAAAACAGAAGACAGACAGATTTGGTGCAGCTTTTTTTATTAGCTGCATTTAAAAGCTGCACAGATTTGGTGCAGCTTTTTTTATTAGTGACAGAATACCAGCCAGCTACGTGTGCCAGCACATCAGCAGTGTCACTGCTATGATGAGCCATACACTAGGGAACTAGTAAGAACATACACCTATTTAAAGCTAATTAAATAAAGCAAGTCATCTTTTGAAATGTCTATCCAGACTTCATACTGAATGCTTGTGATAAAAAACAATCTTTATTTACAATCATTAAAGCTCATATATTACAATAGAAGTAGCAGACAGTCAAGTGATTGCAATGGGTCTCACCAAATTCATTAGCATTTTTCATGCAGGAGATTTAGCTGACTAAAAGGAGGAAAATGTTCTTTTCTCCATTTGCAAAACATGCCACTACTAACAAGAGCTGTTTTAATAGTTTATCTTATCACTTCCCCTAGGCTCAGTGGTTTGAATGTTTTTATTTTTTCTATTTCAGCAGCATATATATTGCTATTACTCTAGCAATACTAATGAAGATGATTAGCAAAACTAATGAAGATGATAGCTAACACAAGATTTAAAAATCTCAGCCTCAGATTTCAGAAATATTTGTATGTACATTAAAATTAGAATTTTCCCCTAATACACTTGTACGTGTGAAATATTTTTTCTGAATGAGCATATACTACCATTAATTCATCTCACTTCTTATATGTACATTTTCTGAAGAAAACTGTCAGTTAATAACCAGGTAAATGGTCCAAATACAGTTTTATAGGTCCATTTCTATAGTTTACACAAGTATTTTACCTCTTCCATTAATCCTCTTTACATTTATGTCTACTTCCAGCTAACATTTACTGCCAGCAAATCCCACAAATTTTGCGAAGTGCAAACATGTGAGTACTGTTTAAGAAAGAACTACTAAAAATAAGACCAAGAATATTCCCCCCATGCTTCTTACAGACACCTCTGCACTAAAAACATGATCAGTACTCAATTTTTTAACATAAGCTTGTCAGGTATTAATCTCTGCTAAGGCATCTAGGTACTAATTATTACATATGACCCACTTATACATAACATTCCTACCTCCGTTACCCTGATGGACAGAAAACGACTTGGGATCATCTTTGACATTTGCAAATCACCAAATAAGATTTTCACAGGCTCCACTGTCTGCTTCTGACAATCCACATTTACTCTAAAATAGAATGAAGATGCAAAATACTTATCACGCACAGGGGAAAACTCAAGAAGATGATTTTTTTTTGTTTTCATCTGCTTCCCAAGGTATCCCTAGGGCACACTTATGTACTTAATGACTTTTATTTAGAAATACATTAATTCAATTACAACACAGAATGACCACATGGAACTAAATTACTGCAGAGCAACTGTTTCAACTGCAATATAACCAAATACAGAAAGATACATACCAGAGCACAACTCTGCCATCACTTTATTAGAAATTGAAAAAAAGCAAGGAGAAGTAGTGAGGCTTTTCATGATGGCATTTTCTTCTAAGCTTATTTTTTAAAAACACGGTATACAAAAACAAATTCAGAAAATTTTTACATATATATATATATATATATATATATATGTAAGTAAAACATTCCTTTTACTTGACTAAAGATAAGAACTTTTAAGTCTTTCAGCCTAGGACACTTCATTTCCTCAAGAGCCAATTTTCACAAAGATTTTAAGTGCTGTTTTGGGCAGAGTAAAGGTGCTAAAATATTTTATTAAAAGCTAAGTACAATCAACTGGAAGTAAAATACTCACCTGTACTTTAACCTTCTCAGTTCACTCCTGCCTTCCTATTCTAGATTTCTTATTTTAAAATACTGAAATGGCTGCAGGCTTATCAGAAGCTAGGCAGAATGCCATTTTATCAGGTTATTTGTATGACCTGAAGCTCAGAAGCACAGCATAGAATAACACTAGAACAAACAGGCCAGATTTTTTGAGCAAAAACAGGTGTGGACCAAAGAGACTCAATACATTTCATTTCTCAGCATTACTTCCTATTATGTTGTAACACCTTATGCCCTTATGTTCCCCCACTGCTTCTTCTGTTAAGCTCTGTTTCTCTCCCTTTCTTTTTTGTCTCAAAATGCTACTCCTTATTTTCTTTGGTTATTGCAATCCCCACATTGTCTCCGTCAGGAACAGAAATAACTGTGTACATCCCTATCTTCCCATGCCAAAGGAAAGTGAACTAGAACCTTGGGGGTGGGGAGGAAAGATGACTGCAGACTTGGAATTCTCTTGAACAGCAAAATACCCTGAACTATAAAGAAATATTTAAAACAATCACCTTATTTCTAGCCCTGCAAAAACACTCTGCTTAGACAAAGTTTACATTTGTTTTTTAATGTAACATTTTTTCCTTGGTGATACTTCCAAAGAAATTCCCACCAAATTCAGCAAACCTTATTTTACTGCAAAGAAACATACTTTACACGTGCAATACAATTACCTTAGAAATTCCAAACCTGCAGCTCCTGCACCTTGCACTTGTCTTCTGATATCCTCTGGATGATGAACACACAGCTCAAAAGGAATCTTCAGCTGTGACATCTTGACTGCCAGGTACACTTCAGGAAGAACCTTAAAAACCTCCTTTGGATTACGGGAGAACTCCACAAAAGCCCTGTTTACAAAAAAAAAGAAAAAGAAAATATTTTTTTCTCCCTGTCTTTATCTTAGAAGCCAGCAAACAGTAAAAGGCAGGTTCTTCACAGGCTCTGTCCACCGCTTTTATGTAACTTTAATTTTCATGATGGTGATAAGAAAACTTTGTAACATTGTCAGCAGCATATGCCAAATTTAATGCAAATAGGATGTGAAAATATATGTGAATAAGGAAGGCATTACAGGTTGGAAAAGGAGTAAGAAGGGTTACATGAATTGAACTTTGGGCAGTCACAGGCTGAAATTAGTCACATTATCAGCTCAAAAAAGCCATCAGACTGTACAAATGAGCTAAATTCAGCATAACAGACAGAAATAAATACAGACAGATGAGCTGCAATTAAGACCCACTGTTAGAGAACAGAAGAGACAAACCAGAAGGCTCTATCTCAGCTAACTTATCTAATGTTATTCCAACCAATGTAAATCAGACTTCAAAACCACCTTTTAACTCTAACCAATACATTAAAAGTAAGTTACTGATTGCAAAGAGATAAGAAATTAACTAAATTTTCAGTACATCACTGCAAAAGAAATTAATTACTGGATTTGTAACTGAGAACATAAGGCAGGATAGTTTATTTTACACTCACCTTGATCCATTGTATGAAATAGATTTTACCTGCCCACACTGTCTAAGCATTGACTGCAACTGTTTATGGTATATATATCCATAGGGAGGAATGTTCTTCAGCTGTAAAGAAAAAGATTTTAAATATGGATACCTTCAATTGCTTTAATGCATTTTCAAGTTCACCTAAATAGTTAGCTTTCTCCTCCACCTAAGCTGCAAAAAATATCTGCAATCTAAACTCCAACAAATTCCAGAAGTTCCAGACATTATAGTACATTCAAGAATCTCAAAAAGACAATAAAAAGCAATGTTTTGCTGCTAATAATGCCCTACTACTTCAAACCAATAGACAAACTATAAATGCAGCAAAATGATTTATAATTATATATATTAATCTGGTATTTGTTACAAAAAGCTGTCTAGTGTCTCTTGATTTTGCTTTTAACAGAAAACACTGGACTACTATGATTCTTTTTCCACAGTGGGGAACTATATCCTGTACAGTATGCACAGCCTGGGAAGCTGAAGGACCTACAGCCCCTGCATGTCCTGGCAGAGCTATCACATACTGAATTACTGCGCTGTGGTGGGACAGCCTGCACAAGTGGGAAAGCTCTCTTGCATGGATGTAACACCTCCTGGGAATGGCAAACAGCAGTCTCATCTTCCTTATCCAGAGGTGTAACTCCAGTGTAAGGTTTCACAACTATTAACATACAACTACAGTCACGTGTCCATTTTGCTAACTTTTTCTTAATAGTATCTCAAGAGATCTGGATTTAATACAGAATCATTAACTGCTAATTAGCAAGTTCAAACATTGAGACTTGAACTAGTTTTCAGAGCTTATGTAACTGTCCATTCTTTTCTTTGGCTCTTACAACTTTAGACAGGAAAACCAGATTATTTTTTCACAATGTTCCCATGCCTTGAAGCTGCAGCACTAAGATCAGCTGCTGGTCAATACCATGGTCTAAGGTCAGACTGCAGAAACTGCCTCAGGGAAGATAATTTAGAGAGACCAGGGAGTTGGAGGTTTAAGTGTCTTTTATATCTTCAGCACATCATTAGGAGCAGCATATGGCTGTAAGAATCTCTCCAAGTGAGAGCTTGAGGAACTTGCAGCATTTGTGCCCAAGATGATCATTTACACTGATGAAGACACAGCAGCTCCTTCTTCCAAGGTAACAAGCAGCTGATGTAAGAGCAGATCAAGAGTTAAATACATTAAAAGTAAGCAGGTCTTTAAATCTACTAATGTGATATTAATCAAGGCTGCTCTGGCAAGACTAGCCTTTACTCCACAAGATTGAGTCTAGTGTGATATTTTGCTTCAATATCCTTAAAAAGTACAGAGCACAAAAAATCCCATATCAATAAGGGATCCCTTTCAAGATTTTCTGCCTCTCTCCCCTTTTTTTTTGTCTATGTCTCTTGTGACAGTAAAGTCTATTATTTGAGGACTCTTGGTAGATTTGGTTTCTTTAAGCACAGGTCATAGCTGTTTTACAGTGTAATAACTACTTCAGATACACCAAACATTTTCTTAGTTTAGACTGCACAATTTTGCAAAATCAACACAGCCATTTTAAACTTGCACACATGCAATCAGCTGAAAAGCAATTTTAGAAGACAACAAAACCCAGTGTAACACCTGAGTAACCTTAAAGAAACAAGCACATATGCCATGCACTAACAAGCAGAAGATGATAAAAAAGTAACACTGAAGCTGCAACACTATATTAAGCACTCAGTAAAAAAGTACCCTTGATAGTTCTGTTCTGTTTTTCACAATATTTTTTTAGTTTGATGAAAGCTGTCTGCCTGTGCAAGACTAGCAATCAAATGCACAGAGGCAGTTCTCAGGAATTCTTTCAAAATTGCCCACCTACACAATGTTTATTGTACTGAAATAAAAGAAGGTGGGACAGACCAAGCAAGGATCAGAGTAAGCAATTATTTCTCTCCTTGCCCAAGTCAGAGCAGAACTTGAAAACAGCACCCAAACACTTCACATTTCTGTTACTTGATTCTTAATAAAGTCATTCAACTTCTTAACATACCATTACAGTGGTTTTTGGATCCTTGCCAGCAAGGTCTTTCATGGCAATTTCTTCATTATATTTTCCAAAAGTACAGTAGTTCGGATAGAAAGCACCAGCTATTACCACCTGAAATGAAGAAAATACTTTGTGATACACAGCAGACTGTATTCAGTTGTCTTGAAATGGAATACACTGGCAACATATAGAGACACCAAGAGGTCTTCATATGAATATTTTTCTCCTGTCTCTGTTCAGGAATTACCAGAACTGGAGACTAAACACAAATTCACACAAATTCTTAAAAATATATATTTGTGAAAAGAGTTCAATTTCTGGAACAATTCTACAACATTAGTATTTTTCTATGCAGACTTGGTCTATTCTATTGGTTGAAAACTGTAATTGCTAGTTCTGATTTCAAGAGCCTAAATTTAAACAAATTCACACAAAATAGCTACAGGTAAATTGTTCTGTTTCCAGGCTGTATCTTAAAATGTTCAACAATTCAGTTCCAAGAAGCTCACTGCTTACACAGTTAAACCAAATGCCACTGAAATGATAAATAGGGTCTGTGAAAAGAAAAGCACTGCTAATCAGTCCAAATAAGACAAGTAATTTAACTGGAAATTAGACAAAGTTGAAATAGCTAGACATGAAATTCCCTGCACCCCCTCCCCACTATCTAACCAAGCCAGTGTTCAAATAAAACACCTCGAACAAGGGATAATATAATTTTCAATTAACTAACATTAACTGTCCTTCTACATTGCCAATACACTGCCAAAAATTGGTTTTTTTCCTACCCAAACTTGCTACATCCATAGAGGATTTTGGAAAAGAAGTGTAATACTAGTTAATCAATATTATGAATTGAACATTATGAAAATTGATATGAAGATTCAACTGCAATTTTTGAAAACAGCATCTCTCTATGACAGTAAAGCATTACCTGCAAGATGAAGCGTTGTTTGCACACATATTCCTGGTCCACAGGAGATGGCTGAGCTTTAACATGCATGTTAAACGCACTGACTCTCCTTTTCAAGTTGTGAAATAACTCTGCCACCTGAAATTTGATCTCTAAGTTACATTTTAAAGGAATCAAACCCATCCACAAACTGAAATAAAATGTTAGTTGAAGTCTGAAATAATTGGGCAAACTAGGTTCCTTTTTCAGGTGACTGGTAAGCATTTCACCAATATACTGCTCAGCACCTTTATGTTGGAAAATAATTTCAGTACTGTGACTCAAGCAGTGTTCCCAAAATCTCCTTATAAAGAACTTCTCTGTAGTCACAAAGCATACTGCACATATATGATACAGGGCAAAATTAGGAAAAGAACTGAATTAACCTTTTACAGGATGATATTCTCTATTTAAATCATTTTAGGTTTGTAACTTATGAGGTAAAAATCTTGCTAGCAACCTGGAATTCTGCACCAAACTGCAGCACTGACCATGGTGCACCCTCAGTTTAGCAGACAACTCTGGTTACTGTGAGAGAGATCAAACTTATGCCCTCCAGCAGAACATACTTCAGCTTTCCATCTTCAGCATTTCCAAGAAACTCCCACAAGCAACCACTGGTCCTCCAACCAGAGAGAGTGAATGCTTTCACTCTCCCAGACAGTTCTGGAGCAGATGTACTAAGCACTGTCCACACAACTTCTCTGTAGCTACATTTTCCTTTCCTTCCAGCTGCTGGCAGTTTTAGCACACTACCAGAACAACCACTGCCAGAAAGGAACCCCTGTGACTGACTCAGTTCTGCAAACTCACTTCCACACAAGGGACTATGAAATTAGGATCTTTAAGTGCAGCAAATAAAAGCCACCAAATCTCACTAAGTGTTAAGGTGACCATTTTAAATTAAACTCATATTATGTCATGCACAACCTCTTCCAGCATTATCTGAAACTGAGCCAAGAGAGGCTGCCATGTGAGACTGATCATTCCACTGTCCATTTTACAAAATTTGCTTTTCTCTTTTTTTTTGTTGTTATCACATCTGCAAGTCATAAAATTGTCATTTCTTATCCAGATGGCTGCTCACTATCAAATTCTATTTTTATTTCCTGTGCTTTTTGCACACAGGCCCTGCATTGCTCATGCCAAAGGTGTGAGCTGGTGAAATAACGATCAAGGCCATTCAGCTGATCAATTACTCAGCAATCTTACTTATTTTCTCCTCAATATATCAAATTAAGCTTGAAGCCCATTGTGATGCTGAGTTTTCATTAATTGCTGCAGTAATGTTAGCAACAAAGCCCCAGGGATTCTCAAGTCCAGACCTCACTATATAACTATATTTGCTTAGAGTATTCCCAACCAAAAAACAGAAGTCATTTAACAACAGGCAGCAGTCACATAACAACCAATGATCTGAGTAACCTATAAAATTAGCAAACAATACTGCAGGTTTCTGAAAAATATTAAAAATATTTTAAGCAGTTAATAATTTAACCATTCTGTTTATCATAACAAAATTCCTTTCAACTAAACTCATAGTTCATTTTAAGAAAATAAACTCCTATATATATTGATAGATATGTAACACAGTAGGTTTACCCAAGGTTTTCACATTTACAGAGAATGAGGAAAGTTAAGTCCTTCTGCTTATAAAAACTATTACCTATTTAATCTTACCTCTTTGATCTTGTTTATATGAACACAATTAGATCGACCCCACTCAAGCTCTTCCTGAAAAACAAAGTTATAATGTTTTTTCTTCTCCTGCTAGTAAACTTTAGCTCACATTCTTCTGCGTGGACACAATAATAGCTACATATACCAACAGAAGAATTTAATCACATTTCACAGCTTTGCACTCATACTAAGTATTGTGACATGCATGAACATGTAAGACAGTTATGTATTGGTCTAAAATTATACTTTGGTTATCACCAATGCAGGTGTGGGTTATCTAACCTTTCCATTATCAACCCTCACGTCCAACTGCTCTGTGCTGCTACTAAAAAGCCTACTTTAATATTCACATCTAGAGAATCACAGGAATGCTGTGGTTTGGAAAGACCTCCAAGATCCTCAAGTCCAACCACTAACCCAGCACTACTGTGTCCAGAACCAAACCATGCCCCCAAGTGCCACACCCACACGGCATCTGAAGAAATCCATGGACAGTGACTCCACCACTTCTCCATGCAGTCTGCTGAAATGTTTTCAGCGAAAAATTTTTTCCTAATTCCATTTTAAACCTCTCCTGCAACTTGAGGCCATTTTCTCTGATTCTATCACTTGGGAGAAGGGGCCAACCTCCAACTCAACCTCTTTTTGGGCAGTTGTAGAGCAATAAAGTCTTCCAGTTCCCTCAACTCCTCTCTCTGGAGGCTTGTGCTCCAGACCCTTCTCCAGCTCCATTGCCCTCCTCTGGACATGATCCAGCACCTCAGTGTCCTCCAGTATTTTCCACACAGGACTCAAGGTATGGCCTCACCAGTGCCAAGCACAGGGGGGAAAAAAAAAAATCATGGCCCTGGTCCTGCTGGCCACATTACTGCTGATGCAAGCCAGGACGCCACTGGACTTCTTGGCAATCTGGGAACACTTACAAAAACTCAGAACATCTTTGCATGCACATCTTTATCAGAGAGTCTGGCCACCCTGGCTACTTGTAACTCAGTGTATGTTATCCATTGGTGATCATAAAAGATACTACACTCTGAAAGAACAAGGGAAATAAAAAAGGTTTTATCTCGTACACACTAAAGGAGGACTGGGGGCATGCTACTGGTTTTTGTGACTGATGCACTTAAACATCTTCCATCTTTCAGGGTTTTCTGAGGGCACAGAAATCTGTGTATTTAAAAAAATAGATACTTCTGCACAATAAAAGCGTTTCTTTCAACTACAGCTCAATTTCCCTTTTTAGGTTGAATTTCAAACCCTCTGGCCACTGTTGATTCATCTGTGGAAGGAGCTGTTAACATAGGGAATTGTCTTCAAGTAACTGCACTGGATTCAATTACACACTTTCTCGCAAAGCCTAGCCTATTTATGTACACAAAGTCATAATTATTACAAATAAACACTGCTAGCAAAAAACTTCTTTCTTTTCCTATTTACTATGAAAATAAAATACTCCATCACTTAAGTCACCAATGTTGAATAGAGAAGAAAAATTTTAACTAACCTTGGGATTTCTCAGCTTCCCTTTTTCTTTGAAGGCCTGCCATGCCTAAGAAAAAAATAGTGTAGTATTCAGATACAAAATGTAATGCTTCAGTAATAATTATTACAAATATTAACATGACATTTATAATTTTAAAGGTTTTTTTTCATATCAACACTGAAGGTAGTTTTTTAACAACAGGCTGTCCACCTGGCTTTATGAGAGGAAACGGACAGAGTGTTAAAGCACATGCAAACGTCCACAGATTATCAGAACAATTTGGATGCTTTAATTTGACACTGTAATAAAGTAGATTACTTGCAAAGCCATTCTTTTTTTCCCTCCTTGTTTTGGGACAAAAGCAGTGAAATTACTGATTCATGTAAGTTCTGATACAAATGTCTCCCAGAAAACAGGGCTGGTAGAGAAATTGAAACAACCAGCATATTAATGAATATTACTTCATTATTAGGTAGCTTATGACAGATGCCTGCAGAATCTATTTCTAGTTTGACAGCAAGTCACCTCATAATACAATAATCCAGTTTACTGGGGACAATGACTACATGCAAGGTTGAATAGCCAGACTGCATTTTCCCACCTTGATAGGAAAGAAGGAATCCAACCTAAATCAAGGAGTTTGGAAACAAACTGTCCTGAACTTACCTGTTCTTTTCTGATACTCAGCAATTCAAAACAAAGATTTCACATCACTCACACAAAGAGATACTTCACTGGAAGCTCTGTCTGAATGTTCATATTTATTCTCCAGGAGAACATATTGTTTTATAGAAACAGCATCTTCAGATGAACAGGTGATAATTACCAGGTGACAAAAGGGAAATGGAAATATGTAACAGGACATAGGGAATTCAGAAATGATTATTTTTGAGCCTCAGGATTAGTGGGTGCATGTGTCATACATGCCCATGTGTGTTTAAAAAAATTTTAACAGCAGACTAGGATTAAAAAAAAAGTCAGTTTTGATTGAAGGGCAACATGCTCAAAAAAAGGAGAATGAATTAAATCAGCAGCTGAAGATTACAAACCACATCAGAGCATGCATTACAGAAAATGTTGGAATTTGAACAGCAAGTTCCTCTAGCAGAAGCCTTTGCTGTGCTGTATCAGCTCTGCCTCTATCTGGAGGAACTGACCCCTGTCCATGGTACTGAGCCACCAAAGAGCCAAGAGTACCAAAAAATAACATTTAAAGAAAACCATCCCAAAGCCAAAGCTAAGAAGTTTCCAGAAAGGTAATCAAACTCATTCTGTACCAGAATTTACTAGTCCAAACTGCCCTTGGTTAAAAACAATCTGCAAACATCACCACATCTCTGGCATTTCATTTTTCGCTATTAGAGACAACTGAAACTTCACACAGCTGGACCTAGACTGCAAAAAACATCGATATGCAGCTGGACCAAGACTGCAAAAAACATCAGTAATGTGAAGTTTTTAACAACTGCTAAGTAAAAATGCTGCACTGATCCTACAAAAGTGAGAACCTTCATGTTGGTCTATCAGATTTCACTGTAATCTAAGCTGCAACGAAAGACTTACCCTAAATGCATTCAGAATTGCAATACAGTCACTCCTACTATTCCCAGCAAAAAACATTTTTTTCCTGTCAATACAAACAAACACTATTAGCAACAATATGTTTTTCAAATATTGCATGTATTACACAGCTCAGTAATACCCTCCATGTCTTTAATAAACATGATCAATACACTTCTTGTAATTACTTGTTCTTATTCATGTCTCCTCGCTGAAGGAGATGCTCTGTATGAGCAGGATAATAACAAGTAATTGTCCTTGCTATTTAAAGAAGCATTTTAATAGGCATTACCACATGAGAAAGGCAAAGCTGAAGAACCAGCCTTGTGCTCAGGAAACAATGAGTTAGCTCTGTGATTTATGTTCCCAAACAGATTCCAGTGTCAGCTACTCGGAAAAGATTCTTTGTGCACTGCTTGGAATTTTAACAGAAAATAAGACTCATGACACAGAAAATTATATTGAGCAGTCCAGCTACTTGGAAAAGATTCTTTGTGCACTGCTTGGAATTTTAACATGACACAGAAAATAATATTGAGCAGTCAAACCCTGCCCTCTGCTCTCAATTATAGTTAGGAAGTTATAAAACATCTGGAGCACTACCTGTATGCATCAACATGCTTTTTGAAAGGTACTGCAAAAAAATTCCGCGAAGACAGTGTTGCAGCTACAACAAAAACAAATCAAAATTAAAACCTGCAAACCAACTGGTTCTAGAGAAATGTTCTCACATGTTCTTCTTTCAGTTACCTATAATGAGGCATTCCTCTAAGCAACCAAAGACATGCCCAAGGACTATCAGTTTTCCAAGATGCAGGTCCACTGGCAACTGTGTCAATATCGTTCCTAAGAAAGTCAGCTCACCATCATGCAGATCATCTTCTGTTCGCACAGAGGTTGTAAGTGCTCCAAGCTAGAGAAAGCAAAATGTATTCAGTTGTAAAAGCTGACTAAGTAAACCTAAGACAGGTTTTAAAGCCTGGTACTTTTGAAACCAAAGCTACTACATTTACTGGATATAAAAGCAATCTACAAATGATGCAAATATTATCTCTTATGCACTTTGGAAAAGAAAAAAGTTTAATGCAATGAAAATTCTCCCTTATCTTTGTAACTGAAAATCAAAATCACTATCCACCTTGTACAGGTGAGAAGGATATCTTCAGGCTGACCTCTATAATTATTACGTTTTAGAGTCTGGTTCTTCTCTTACTCATAAACAATGTCGTTTACCAAGGGGTTTTTTTTTGTTTATTTCTGTTCTTCCTCACTACAGATTCTAGTCCTCAGAGAGTATCATTACTCCCCAATGAAATTACAATAGTGATTTATAGATGTAACTACAGAAATTATGCTCAAAAGCATGGAAACCCAACAACAGACCAAGGTGTGAAAGACGTTCTAGACACAGTTCATATCTGAGGTTCCAGTTAAGACTACTGCTACCTTAAATACAAACAAAACCACTTATGCAGTACATTCCTATTACCTTGATTTTGACAACAGTAAAAGGAAGCCTACCTCTTTCAGCTGAAGTATTGTACGTTCAATGTCAGCTACACTGGGTGGAGAAAGAGCTGTTGCCAGCAAGGCTTTTGGTTCCCCCATATCAAGCTTCTTTAATTTTAAGACTGTAGATCCTAATGGACAATGCTGAAGGGAAGACAAGATTATTGATATTCTACCCTCATGGTAAGTGTGACAAAGTGTTTTACATGAAAAATTAAGTTTACAATTCAGCAAAATCTGAAGTCAATTATGTACAACAAGGGCTTGTTTTCTTTTGAATAGACTGCTTATTTCTAACCCACATCAATTTTACCATTATAATGTATCTCCTTCTATAAGGAAACTATGTGGAATGATCTTCATCAAATAGTTATCAAATTGAATTCTAGTCATTGCGACTAGTTATTAGTAAATATTCCAATCATCTTCACAGAAAGTAAAGCAAAGCTTATCTGCTATGACTACATGCATTAAAGGAAACCTAATCCTAAACCCAAAAGCCTTACCAGCATCTCAGGTTCTGACTTCTCTGGAATACAGTCTGCCCAGAAGTCCTTGCGTATGAGCCTGTAACAATAGCCTTTGGAAACACGTCCAGCACGACCTTCACATGAAAGAACAAATCACCAATTTGTAAATTGCACAAGGTTTTTCCAAACCCATCCATCTACAAACCCTCTGGGCAGCTGAGCAGCACACGACAGCTGATGCTGCAGGCTGAGCAGTGTTCTGCTCTCTTGCAGCAGACAAGCCCAGAGGACACAGAAGGGTAGGACAAAAAAATTTTACTTTCATAGGAGCAGTAACTAACAAAAGAATTACATAACTATTTCACTCAAATACCTCTTTCACGTAACTGCCCTCAAATCAACAGCCATTTTTCTCAGTTGAACAGGCATTTCCTGTTTGACTCTATAGCTAGAAAATAAATCTTCAATATAAACAACTTTTAAGCTACAATGATAAAACAGCAAAACGTCTTTATGATCTACTATTTACAGAACACACAATGACTCAGAAGTCTGTCTTCATAAATCCAAACACCATTCACTTTAACCAACTAAAGGGTACTCCTCTCTGTGGGATACTCCACTAGAGAATCAGACCACATTTTTAAGCCACATGCACAACGAGCCCAAGTCTTCTACACAGAATGCTACTTCTGCTACATTGGCTGATTGCTGTGACCTCTGCTGACCTGGAAACAAATGGAAATAAATCTATATATTGCAGCTCATGGGCTCACAGTGAGGTCTTGAAAGAGGGTGGCTTCTGTAAGAAGCTGCTGGAAACTTCCCCCATATCTGACAGTGCAAGAGTGTGAGGAAGAAGCAGCAGCAGAGAGAATGCATGATGAACCGACCACAATCCCCAATTTCCATCCCTGTGTACCACTAGGGCAGAGAAGGTAGAGAAACTGGGAGTGAGTCCAAGCCTGGGAAGGAGGGGAGGGAAGCTGTTTAAGATTTGGCTTTATTTCTCACCACCCAAGACTGATTTGTTTGGTAATAAAATTAAACTAATTTCCCCAAGTTGAGTCTGTTTTGCCTGTGATGGTAATTGCTAAGTGATCTATCTCCCTGTCTTCATCTCACACCCTGAGCCTTCTATCACCATTTTTCTTCCTGTCCAGATGAGAAGAGAGGAGTGACAGGGCAGGTTTGGTGGGTATCTGGCACCCAGCTGTAATTGTAAAGAGTTCATAATACTTAAAAATTACAGTCTTTTTAGATCTGAAGATATCACTGCTATTAATTTATTTAGTATTATTTTTGTCTGACACTAGAAAGATTTTGATATTTAAGAGGACTGTCTTACTAGAAGAGAATCTTATTTATCTTATTTACCCTTGTGCTATGAACACTGGTGTAAACTAGAAACACTGCTGTGGATATTACAACTCATTAATAGTGACATATACACATGAAAGTTCCTTTATCTGCTGCAGCTCACAAGCAGTTCATAAATACCTAGCAGTTCATATTCCCCCTTTTCAAAAATGGTCTGTGATAAAAAAATTCCTATTAAACACCAAAGAATCCATGGTCAGTGGATTTTAATATTTTTCAATAAGATACAAAACATTCCTCTGCAAACATACTTGAGAAAAAAAAAAATCATTCATACAGAGGTGTTTAATCCCATTTTTTATACCCTGACATGGTAAAGATTTATCAAGTATTAATGGCCAAAATAATCTGGGTTTTTTTACTATTAATACAAGAAAAAGCAACAAAGAATTGTTCATGAAGGTCAGCTTCTAAAATTCCTTTGCATTACCTACTGTCATCTTACCTTTTCTTTGATTACAGTTTGTCTTAGATGCCCAGCAAAGCCTCAAATTTTGGTAATTAGTTTCCTTATCGCAAAACAAAATTTTAGTTAAGCAGAAATCTATCACTGCAAGTAAGAAAAAAAAATTCCTCATGGCAGTGGAAAGAAATACACAAGAAAAATCTGTATTATCAGAAAAGTCTGAATAACTTGAATAGCAATAAAAAGAACATCAGATGTAAAAATAATCAGACCCAAGATATTCTGAATACTAATCAAGCTCCTAACAGATCTTAGTATAAAAATAATAAATCATTGTAGATGGCAGTCCTTTTTTAAAAGGCAATCATTTCTGCATTTAGAAACTCTGTATGAAAATTTGCTTAAACTGATGTGATTATTTCAAAACATAGTCAGAATGTGATTAAAAATCTTAACTTGTGATATGAGGTCAGGCTCTGCTTGTTACTGCATTGAAAATTACCCCTTAGTGAAGACTCAAACCCACCTCCCACTCAGTAGCTCTATTTGCTCATATATTCAGATTTCTCTGTTGTGAAAGAAATAATTCAACATGCCAACAGCAGTGCTTTGAACAGTGACATATCCAGGAGACCAAACCCAGCACAAGTATGGAAAATATTACAAACACAACATATAGAGTATTAGAAGACTCAGACAACTTACCATACTTAACATCAGGAACTGTTACAGAGCTCTCAGCTACATTGGTAGCTAGAATAACCTGAATTTTGAAGCAAAAAAAGAGCAAGGAATGCATAAACAAAAAATTACTTCCATTAATGTTTCTACTGAAAAATCCAACTTGCTATGAAGAAATATAACTGCAATGGCAACACAGCATTTCTGCTCTGCATAGTAAAAAAAGCAATACCATGCAAGGACAATACAAAACCCCTTGTATTTTCTTGTTTTGAGCTCCAAAAAGCATAATAATGTAGTGTAGCATTAGGACAGTGTAGAGGAAGAATGGAAATATTTCCTTGTGCCTTTGCCATAAGGAAACATCACACAATTGGCAGCAATAGTCCCTTAGTAATAGCAGATGAAAAAAAAACCAAGGCAGCAGTGACAATGTGGGGCACACAGTGGGACAGTCTCCCACACTGGGGCACTACTTTGCTGTTCAGTGACACCAGCAGCACTGCCCTGTCATGGAGGTGCAAGAATCAACATGCACAAACCATTCTGAAGGATAAAAACAGCAGCAGGCAACAGTTTAAGGGTAACTTCCTCAAGGCTAATGCACCTCTCTTGAGGACTGCCCACCAGTTAATACAACAGCTTGGTAAGAAAGGCCATCAGTTTACACACAGAAAAACTGAAGTTCTTTGTCCTCATACAATGGTTTGAGTTAGACCAGCTAATATTACTTAAATACACTATTATTTGCTATTAGCACTCTAGCAAAAGGTTTCACATGCTTTAAAAAAGTAATGATTTAAAAATATTTACTTTTCTGTAGCCAGGAACTGTAGCTGAAAATACTTTACTTTGTTCCTCCAATGTTGCACATGCATGAAGTGGGTAGACTTGCCACCTAAAAAAACATATTCATGAAATATTTACTAATGCAAGAATATTAAAGTTGATTACACTTCTGTGCTAAACCCTGTTATGCACCTAAAACTCATACAGCTGAAAGACTCATATTCAGGTTTAACTGAATTGAAACAAATGTGGTCTAACTTACCTTTGATATTTATCTGAGAGGCATGAGTGCATGTATCTTATTTCACCTAAACCTAGGGAAAAAGCAATCATAAGTTTAATTTTTCATTTTAGTCATCAGGAACAATTCAAAAATATCTACTTCAACTATTAACTGCCTGTCATTATTACCTCTTTTTTACCATAGAATAAAATGGTAGAAGAATTAAACAGCAAACATAACAACAAAACTCTGAAAACCAGTCAATCAATTTTTGAAGAACCATTTGGCATTAATTTTACACTTAATAAAGATATAAAGGCCATTTGACAACATTCCGTTATTAGTCCTGGTTTCAGTTTCTTACAACTGACAACACATGCTGAATATCTGTCTGGTTTAGGCTAAAATTGGGTATTTCTGCCAAAACAAGTTCTTTCAGAGAACAGGGCCAAGGGAAAAAAAATACCTATTTCTGTCTTAGCCATCTCACCTTTGGCCATTCCAGTGCCCATTTTCTGGGACATGCATTTCACATCTGCCAAGAGAAATCTTATAACTGAGGGATTTTTTCTATTTTCCTGAATACCTCTACAGACATAAAACCTTTCTGAGAAGCTTAGTTTACTTCTTATTGAGACTTCAATTCCAAATTTTCAAAAACCTGTCCCAAAGTGGACTTCCATGGAGGTTGTATTTACAATTAAAAACAACTAAAAGAAGTTTGATTCATGTTTGGCAGAGCAGACTCAGCATCATCACTGTTAACAGAAATTATTAGTCAGTCTAGTAATTAGTGACTAGACACAGCAGGACCTATCTGCTGACCAGTTTCAGAAGTCACAAGAGCTGATTGACCATGACACCTACAGAACACAAGGATGCCACCAGGAGACAAAGGTCTCAGAATGAAATGGGAACCAGTAACACAACCTCTTTGGCAAACATACAAGGACAGTAAGGAGAGCAGGGCATGGAGAAGTGCAGAAGAAAATATGGAACAGACAAAAAATTAGATCAACACCAGCAGAACAGACAAAATTAGATCATTGGGAACATATTCATGCATGCATGTTAAGAAAATTACTCTACAGTTTAACATGGCACTTTGTATCACCTGTTACCTACAGAGAGACAAGTTCTGGAACCAAAGCAGAGGTGAGTACTGAGGAATACTTATCTATACAGAATCAGACTTAGCATTACAAAAAAAAAAAAAAAAAAAAAAAAAAAAAAAAAAATTAAGCAGTGATCAAGACAGGCAATTAGAAGGGAAAACATGGCATCCTATTTGAGAAAGCTGCAGCTCCTTTTTGAATCAAACTCTGCCCCATCACTGAGTTCCACAAAGACAGTGGGCAAATATCACTTAACAGCATCCTCAGCACAGCACTGCTCTTTTTGGCTGCTGCAGCACACTCAACTTGACAAGTCAGTAGGAGTGTTATTTTTAATGTTCAAAATGCTATGTAATCGTTAGCACTCAAAAAAAAAAAAAGCAGCATCTCAAATCAACTTCCTAAATGTGGATGTTAAATGTGTAAAAATAACCCAAAGCTCTGCCTCAGTGTAAACTGAGGGCTCGCCTCCCCTGTTCTCCAGCTCTGTATAAAACATTTGTGAGGAAAATGTCAAGGGGTGTTTGCTAATCCTGTGTTCAGGATCAGTCTTGAGTATCCAGTTTAAAACCAGACAAGGTCAAACACTGAACAAATAAAATACAAACCTGAGTGTACCAGATTATTACCACACAAGTTTCCACAAATTTACCAAATGTATTTAAACAAAAAAAAAAAAATCAAAACAAAATCAAAAACCAAAATAAAACACCAAACAAACAAAACAAACAAAAAACCAACTCAAGATGAAAGATAAAGATTTAGGATTGAAAATGCTAAGGAGTAATTTCAGACTGAAATGAAGCCTCAGAGGGGCTGAGAAAGTAAAATACACCAGGCAAGAGGTATGCCTCAAGAGGCCAGAGGCAACAGATATGGTCTCCCCTACCTTATTAATCACAAACTGGAATGGGCATTACATTGACACAATGAAGTCATTCCTTCTATCCATTAACTTTATAGTGAATGTAGTTCCAAGAAAGGCAGCTCTAATGCCATTTAGCTAGTGGGAGCATTCTCCAAGGAAAGCTGCTCTGCATGTGCAGTGTATCTTTCAGCTGGTGTGCTGGGATTCCAGCCCCAGCCCTGGCATGCCTATTCCTAAGCTCAACGCAGTAAGGAGATGACATTCATAAACATTTTAAAGAGTTAGGAAGTCCTGGTAGGGGCAGACTTCACTGTGTCCAAGGGACAGCTGCCCTGGACTTCAAGGTGACTCTCCACTTGAACACAACCAAATCTTTTCCAAGTTTTCAACTAACAAATGTTCAGCACCTAAAGTAAAAGAATATTTGAAACCACCAGGTTAACAGATCTATGATGTTGAGGAAAACTACTCTGCAGGCTAGTTACACTGCCTCTAAAGTCCAGCTAATGAGTTTAAATAAAAATGGCAGTCAAAACAAAAGCCTACAATAATTTCTGTGCAATACAACTTAGGTTTTAATCCTTAAAGAAGACTACATGTAAAGCCAGTTTTCTCATCAATAACCTCTATGTCATCATGTGTACTTTTGAGCATGCCAACCACACAAACCAATGTACATGGAAAGAAAAACATGAATGTGAGCTTTTACAACAATTTAAATGAAGACCACACTATATGCAGATAAGGAAACACCTCTAAAAGAATCCTAGGAGCTTCATACAATAATTAATAAGTGCACTAAAAAACGTAGCAACTGCATTTCTGCGGTTCAACTACTGAAATAATTTTATTATTTTAAAAATACCTAATATCTTAATTTCTGACTTACAGCTTTTCCAATTATTGCCACAATTAAACCAGTTTCCAAGAAAAAATGCCCACAGAGACCTCATTTAAGTATGTGTTTGATAAATCCTGGAAGAAGTGCCAGAAGAAAGTTCATTAGGTGACAAATAACAAAGAAGAAAGTTAAGACACATACTCACCTGGCAAAAACACAAGCACGCTGCCACGTTCCAATGTGCCACTCCAGCTCTTTTTCTCCCTAACAAGAAAACACAGCTTCATTAGTTTTACAGTATCAATCTACCTCATTACCCCAAGTTATTTTATTCTGGAAGAACAAGCAGAAGTGCACACTTTTTGTAACATGCATTATTTAAACTTCTTGAAGAAATGAAATTTCAACCATTATTTGCAACTTTGCTTTCTGAAAAATGCAAGATATAAACACTAGAACCAGAGCAATAGGTTTAGTGTTTTTCTTCAAAACTATGACAAAACGGAAACATTCTCATTCTGCAATGAAAATAATCAGAATTAGGTTACCTAACACACAGTATTAGCCAAAAGTGGTAGAAGTAACTTTATTACATTTTCAGATATCACATCTGAATATCACATGTAATATTACATCTTCAGCTACTAAACATCAATTTACAAAACACACAGAACAGCAAAATCCATTATTTCACATGACATTAAGGCATTAAACAGCCAGTGAAAATTAATGTCTAGCTTTTATGCTTTTTTCCCCCAAGAGATAACGTATGTTTTAGGCTCGAATATAAAGTAGTATCATTTACATTTATATAATTCTTGATATAAATACTCCTCAGCTCTGGTCTGCAGTAAAGAATATATTTTCCATACGACATGGCTGCCTTGAATAGTCACTCACGCTTCAGGGCATGAAGTACACTTTAGGAACACTGGGTACAAATCAAACAAATATGTAAAATAAAGGCAGAGATGCAAGTAAAAATTAAGTTTCCACTAATAACTAGGGACTCTGCTGCTGCCTAATTAGATTCTCATTTCCCCAACAGACACTGATTCCAGACCCTGAACTGCATCTTACCTATTGCTCTTTTCCAACTCATCAAATGACTGAATCAGAGACATTGCCACTTGGTACATTTTCGGTTCCATCACTGGATCCCCAAGGCTCTCACGATGAAACTGTTTGGATAAGGAGGTAATGAGGTTAACACAGCATAACTGGCTAAAAGACTGTAGTTCACATATGTATTTCAATTTCTCAAGTGCTTGCAATTCAAACTGATCCAGTACAGAAGAAGTAACTTCATCTGATGCACTCATTACCTTCTAAATAGAAGAAATTTCTAAACAGAAATTTTTCTTCAAGCATCCTACAATTTTAATGCTGAAGACATACTTCTGATATTTACCTACTTAAGCACCAGCCCACCCCCATTCATCTGCAGAACATGCTCCTTATCCTGAAGTTGTCAAGCACATGGGAACTGAGCAGATCTCATGGGAACAGGATGACAGGGAGGAATTTGTGTAGGGAAGGTAGAGTGCTTCTCACAGCTGCTGTTACACAGATCTCTCTACCTGCCTGCACATAAACCATGTACCTCATTCTCCTTTAAATTGATTTTGCATTTAATGGGTTTTGTGGTTTTGGTCACAACCTGCCAAATAATTACTGTTCTGCTGTACTCAACAGAACCATGGTGATTCTGTCTACATTGTTTTCCAGCATTCTGAACAAACTCAGTATTTAAGAACACAAAACTTTAGTATTTAAGAACATAAACCATCAAGTCTTCAGAGCAAAGACAGTAACTTAATCACTTTTCCATTTTATGCTTAATGAACTAGACCTGCTATGAAGAAGGTCTACAGCATTACAAGTTTTTCTCTTGTAGGGAAAATAGCTTTTGATCATTGCTCACTTTTCACTCTCAGAGATTCTCCTCAGTCTAGTGTGAACTCTTTACTGAACCAAGTGTTTCAGAGAGCTAAAATCACAGACCACTTAACTATCTGCACTACTCAAATTAAGTTAGTAATTTTTCTACCAGTTTCCCATTGTAAAGGGAGCTCATAACAATCACAAAAGCACAGCTCCTAGAACCAGTCTGGAAACACTGATTTACATCAGTATTTGCTTCTACAACCTCAGTCCTCAGGCTGATTAGCCCATGAGAAACCTTAAAAACCTTGATTGTTTTCTTCGAAGTGATTTTTGCTCCAATATATGTGAAAAATCTAAGCAAGTTATCTCTTCTGGGCTGCTCCAATTTAAGATTTTTTGGTTTATACTATCCCTGCTTAAATAACTGTCAAATTTGTCTTTTCAATTTTGCTACTGATTGTACCTTTAGTATTCTCTAATACGACAAGGCTTCCACATCACTCCTAAAAAAAGGTAACAATGTGACAAACAGCAAATCCAAACCCCAGTCAGACCTGACTGAAATAATACAACATAATCAGAACTGCTTTTGACAGCAGATCACTACCTTCCATCAGGACTCTGACTCTAGTTCCACGGACATGAAGGACTTTTTACCTTTGCAAGCCAAAAATGGGTTGCATTTTTGAATTTTGCTTAATTTCTTAAATTTGCATTTCATATCTCGAACACTGTACAGAACAAAAGGCAAACATTTACACAACTAGCTTTAAAATTGCCTATAGATACAACCTTCATGCATTTTTCATTAAACCTGTGTTTCAATGATTCCTTGGGGCTTAGAGGTTGCTGGTATGACAAAATCATTATTCTGTTAAACATCCAGAACAACGTGTTTATCAAGCCCATTATGCCACAAGAAAAAGAAAGAATTTTTTGTAAGCTTATACTCACAAATTAAGAAGCACACCTATAAATGACCCAGTATCCGGGCAAGGGTAAGCCAGTGCTACACTGAGAAATGTTTCTCCCTTATTTTTATTCATTCCTAAAAATGAAGTAATTCAAGTAGAAAGCTTTATCTTTGGTTCAGCTAGATGTCTGTCTAGCCACAGCAGAGAGTTTACTGCAAACATGCATACAGAAGAAGAATAAATAATGACTGGCATTTCTATTCATCTTCCAAATTACAACAGCATCTATGAACTGACAAATTATTCAAGTCAAAACTAGCCCTAAAAATTTTATTTTCAAGCACAGTTTTAAAACATCACATGCAGAAAGGAGTGTATTAAAGCCAAGAGCTCTGCAGGATTCATGGAAGAATTCTACATCTCTGCAGTAACATCCAATTATTTTAATATTTTTTGAGAAGGGATGAAGATTCACACCTCACAACCAAGAGACAATTACAAAGACCCAAACTGATTTTGACTGAGATGCTTTAAGAAATGATTGAAGATTTATGTTATGTAGTTTTACAGTTATTAATTTTCAAATCAAAAGTTAACTTGGAAAAATTCTGTTTATCTAAAGAGGAATGACTGCATTTACTTTTAAGTGCTATGTTCCATTATGTAAATTTTACAGGCTTTTATAGGTGAAAATAAAACATCAAGAATTAAAGCCTGAAGCCTGTACCTCAGGCAGTTATCTAACTGATTTAGATTTTAGCATGATGAAAGATGTGCCTCAGCCTCCATATGGCAGCATTAACTCATTAACTGTCTTAATACTCACATTCCACTTTCATATTATTAGGATGTTACACAAACCATCTTAGACCTTCCACATTTTAGGTTTTTTGATTGTAACTACTATTTGGAGAAAATCTTCACACACAGCACCATAAGGAACAAGATCAGACAAAAAAATCAGTGCTTTAGAATTCAATGTCATCCTTTTTTTAATACAGACATAAAAGAAAAGAATCAGGAACACTTATGTGCTTCTATTGTTGCCCTAAGTCACAAGAAATACCCTGGACAAACACAGTATCCCCATCTTGCTGAAAAACAGAATGGCTATAGTTAGGACAACACAAGATAAAGAATCAGATGAAAATTTTAAATAAACATAGAAAATATAAAAAAGTATAAAAAGGGCTAAGCACTCAAAGCAGTTCCTTTGTAAGTGATCTCTGAGGCGAAAAGGTGTGCAAGTTGACATTAAGCTCCAAGTGCAGCTATGACAAATCAAATTTGACTGAAGGAAACTTCTTACTCAATTTCCTGGTTATCTTTTTGTTGTCATCATCAAAAATCTTTTACAAAGCCCCATGTATTACATAATCCCCTCCCTATTATCTGTGATACTAATGTAAAAATGCTGATGGGCCAACTGCTATAAGCAGTGAGTTTGTTTCTTTGTTTGCATTAGAACTCCAACAGTTGACAGCCTTTTATTTTACCTTGCCTGTGCTGAAGCATAACCAATGCCAATATGAACACATATTGCTTATGTGTACAGCATAAGCAATTATTTTGTTCTGGGCTTCCTATTTTATTTTGCTGTTTTATTTTCTGCACAACTGATGGATGAAACCTGAATAGTAACAGTGTGTTTCCCCCACTGGTACTTTTTTAAGTGCATGTCCCAAATCCTTCATTGTAATAACATTCTAACAGTGTTTTGCATTATCAAAACTGACTAATAATTACACCCACATCCCAGTTATTTTTAGACTGGGTATCATAATACAGGCCTGAGTGCATTTGTTGTACTCTGCTTTAACCTGTTTATGTTGCCTTGAACCATAATACTGAAAGAGCTCGCTCAAGTGAATTCCTACACAGCTGTTTTTCAAATGTAAAACAAACTCCTATTATAAAACCACAGAAAACAGATCACATATTTACATTCATTCCTTCATTATCTGATGTCTACACAGATACCTGCTGTAATGTCAGAAACCCTAAAAACAAAATATACAAAACACATTCTGTGCAGCTTATGAGCTAGATTGATAAAGCAAACATATCTTCAGCCACCACCTACTCTCTCCTTAGGCATCAGAGAAGCAGTTCTCCAGCACAGCCCTCCAGGGATCTGAGAGGCATCAGTTATTTTGATGTGTTTTCATTACTCAAAATTAAACATTTGCCATGGTGCCTTACATGGTTACATCAGAAAAAGGCTCAAAACTACTGCATAACATATCTGGCACTATTAAAAAAAAAAAAAAAAAAAGAAAATAACCAGGACAGAAAAATAGTCAAGCCTCAGCTGATAGAGAAGCCAACTTGATAACATCAAAGTTCTAATCAAAAATGATTGTTTTCTCTTAATTTCATAGCACTTTCTGCCTTTGATATATAACAACATGAACCAATCCAGGAAATATTTCCTGATTTTGTCAGCTATATTCAAACAGATCTGTACATCTATTTATGTTACTTTCCACAATTTTACACTATTCATTTTGAATGCAACTATCAAACAAAATGGCTCATCCTACTGAAACGTTTCTGTTTCATGAAAGAAACTACTCTGCTCATAAGAAGACTCGTGTTTTATCATCATCTACTAATTCTTAGCTAGAATTGCAATATGAAAGTGGCTATGTCATTTGATTACACAGCTTTCAACTGACTACTCCAATTTCTTATTATGTCAAAAGAAATGAAATTATATTTACAATACCTGTAAATCAAAAATGTCCTTCAAATCATCAAGATAGTATTCTTCAACTGCAAAAGGTCTGCCTTCCACCTTAAATATGCAGACTGGATTCAAGCCATTATGAAGTGGAAGTGCAAAGTAATCAGCTAATTCTTTAGAGTTGATAGAAGCAGACATCAATATTATCTGTTAAAAAATGTACAGCAGATGTAAAACATTAATTTTAACACAAATTGTCCTGTTACATGGGACTCTCTATTTCCTCCTCACGTTAAATGATCTAATTCTGATTACTACAAGTATGTAACCTAAGCATATTTAAGATAATCAAACTAAATGCTTAAGATACTTTAGTCAGCATGTGGACAGAGGCAAGCACCTGTAAGAGAATGGCTCAGGCTAGAATGCCCAGGGCAGACAACATGGTGAAAATTCAACCAAAAACATACAGTACTCTTGATAAAGATCTCACCACCACCCAAACCAGAAATGCTGTAGAACACAAAAGCATCTCCCTTACAAAATGACAGGAAGACAAACTAATGAAAACAACATTGTACCACTGTGCTCAGGCATAAGGAACACATGGAAAGGGCAGGCTAAACCATTAAGTTTTTCAACATGAGCCTGAAAGGAGAAATTTGAAAGGACATAATTCTGCAAATATATGAAATCTGTCCCACTACAGCATGGACTGCCTCATGGCTCAGCACATAGTGACTCACCTATGCCAGGGCAATAGGCTAAATATATCCTTCTCTGAAGGCTGTCAAAACAAAATGCAATCTAAATCTGCAGTTACAGGAAAGGAATATTAAACTATCCCTTCTTCCAGACAATCTCTGTAATCGGGACTCTAATCTGTGTGGAATCCTTCCAAAGTGGAAAGAAGTGACAGATTCTTAACACAGTGCCTGAAGGGTGACATAACAGAACCAAGAGTTTGATGCACTCCTGAAGCAAAAATTCAACAAGCACAAATCACCAGTGGGGCAGATGAACACATCAGAACAGATGGTAATCAAAGAAGACAGTTCAGGATCAAGCAGTCCAAAACCACTTGTACAACACAGGTATGTCCAAAGACCCACTAGACAATACCAAGAACTGTTACCAGTCACTATAGAAACTGCACTGTTTGGTTTGACCCAACAGAGACACTCTTAGTCTCAGGTTTTCCTTCAACAACCCTAACCCAGCAAGATCAACCTCTGAACAATCCAGCTTCTGTTCTGTGATCTAAAAATAATAATCTGCAGCAGCAATCTGCCAGAAAATCCAGCATAATTTAAACTGGTTAGTTCAGCAGATAGATCTTGTCCTCAGTACATAGAATCACCCAACTAACTCCTGTTAGTTGATGCAATGTTGAATTACCTGCTGCTTCTGAGATCAGCAACTTCCAAACTAGGAAACGAACAGCTCACACACATTTCATACCACCCTGAGTTAAAAATGTTTCATTTCCTCTCTTAAATAGGGATCCTTGCACCCTTTTGTTTCATGAATCCAGGGAGGATGGGAGGAGAACCTTACATTTTCTAAATGAATTTGCCACATCAAAGCTCCCTTCCTTTACATTTTTTCAGAAGGGGCTGAAAAGGGATAAAGTATGAGACACTGGGCTTAGTATATAAATTCAAACTGAATAGCCCATTGTACTCTGCTCAAGGCCTGCAAGTGAGATCAAGAGTTCCCCCTTCTTCATAAAAAAATTCAAAGGGACAGCCCTCCACTCTCTCAAATATAGGTCTCTCTCAGATTTGTACAATATTAAAAAACTGTCATCTGCAGAAACAACTGCAGGCAATGATATAAAGGGGACAAAATTTTTCAGTAACAATTTCAAGCGACTGAAATGGAACTATAGAGAAAAATCAAAAATTTGTCAGGAACCTCTTACAGAAAAATGTTTTCTAACAGAAAAGATGACAGAGCCTGTAGGGATTCCTGCCACTGAAACCAACCCAATAATCAGAATAAAGGACAAACTTCTCACAAACTCAGTTTGATCAAATTATTGCTCTTCTCTGTAGGCAGAACCAAGTGCTAAAAAAGGCTGAATAGTTTCACATAACTGTCTCTAAATCTAAAGACAAGAATTTTCTCTAAAATCTCAATCAGCATGAAAAGGGATAAAAAGTGAAAGATGTGAAGTGCACAGCCATGTCCTACACCTAATGAAAGGGCACTTCAAGTGACAGAATGTTTGCAAGACCTAAAGACCAAGTCTGAATCAATGTGATGGACTGCACATAAGAACACATCATTCCTTCCAATGGCAACAGAAACAGCCAACCGAGACTTTATTTAGAACAGGAAAAAATCACATTAAACCATTACCTTGAAGCACGTAAGAGACATGCAGCCTCACAAAGGATCTGCAGTCCCAAATAGCGGCACAGGAAGATACTGGGTTAGCCTAACTCCATCACTCGTATTTAATCCCTAACATTTCAAGAGTTCAATACTTTGAGACCCCAAAGACTAAACATGTCATGCTTAAAGTCTGTGAACTCTGCTTTAGTAAAAAGCAGAATTGCCCAACATGCAGAGAAAAACCTCAGTCAAATTTTGATACCAGTTCTGCCCAGAAATCACAGTACAGCACTTCTGGTCTTTTGTTATTTCTTCAACTATGTCGTCCCACTTAAACAAAAAGGCTCAGTATTTCCAGGAGTTAATGCTACCATTTTAACCAAGAATAAGCACTGCCCTCAATACTCAATACGTAATTCTAGTCAAATATTCATCGTGCATTTTTTAGCCTTAAGCAGGCTTTAGAAACTAATGCATTTTAACATGAGAGAAAAAAAAGAAGTCTCTCAGAACACATGACATCAGCCAGGAAAAGAATGCCCCTTAGCTTGCTTACTTATGAGGAGTTGCAAACTAAAAAATATTTTAGTAAAAAGTAATAACAAAGTAATGCAAACATTTTCTAGCAAGAAAAAACAGAAGAATTCAGTCTGAACCCACCTTTACAGACTGTGAATTTGTACACAACAGTTTACGGGTCACCAAGAGCAAGAAATCAATTTCTTCTGTACGCTCATGCACCTGGAAGACATTATCCACAATTTAATTTTCATTAATTCATCCTCTTCTTTTTGACAATCTCTTACTTCCCTACTCAATTTTATGCTTTATTTTTGGATAACAACTTGGATAACAATACATTTTCATGGAAGAAAGCACACACCTTTTGAGCCTAGGCATGCTAAGAACACTTTAAAATCACAACAAGAGTCTTCAGATGACTACAGAACCCTTTGTGAAAATCATGTCACTCTAAAGCTAAGCAAATCTAGAATAATGACTAGAAAAATCAGTCTTGAGCTCTAACCACTGGCAGCAGATGAAGTCTGTGATACTGATGCTGGGTCAATCAACTATACTGGTAAGAACCCAAATGATCCAGGGACTGTTTTGCTTTGTCTGAAAATAAGCAAATCAAATAATGTGCCTCATTCCCAATGGCTTCCAGCTATGATCCAATACACAACTGATTTCTAAAACATTAATTTACACCCAATTCTTTATATATCCTAGCACCCAAGCTTTCTGCCCGCTCCTTACAATTCAGCAAATAGTTCTTCCCAACATTATCCCTGACAACCATATCCCTTTCTTGAATTACAGTTTAAATATTTCAATTGCAGCAGCTTTTTTTTGGAGTTCAGCCTTCACAAGTCAACATTAATGTCTTGGAAGCTAATGAGCATATTCTAATATAATGTAAAGATAAGACCCATTCAATGCCATCCTATTACAAAAGCATATTTAGCTGAGGTAGTTTTCAGGCTGGCAGTAAGGCCTTGCTGTGAGTACCAAGATTTTTGGTCCTAGTTTAAGTATGGTCCTAAATGTGTGCAGTACCCTGAGAGGGATGAGACCTGCAATTAAAAATGTTGTGGAGAACATTCAGTTGTTAAAAACAGTGACTTGTGGACTCAAGATCACAATCTCTGTAGTAGGTATGGGGAAAAAGGGGGCATATGGGCACGAGGAGGGACCAGAACCCAAGCTGGGGAAGCAAAAAACACACTCAGTCTTGACAGAGGGATGCTGCTGAAAGAAGTGCTACAAGCCAATAATATCAGTTCAAATTACAGCACCCAAGAAAGCAAAGTTTGGAAAACCTCTGAGTAAACCCATTCTCCAGTGTAAGGGGCCAGAAAACCTAACTCGTTCATTTTCATATGTAATGAATAAATCTTAAAACTAAAGGAAATAACACTTTTTGTGTGCATCTTCTATGGTTCAGCTTTTGAATCTACATTTAACCTGAATTTCCTTACTAAAGCAAATGTTATGGTTTCCAACACTCTGCTAATACACTGGAGTGCTCAAATCTTTTCCATGAAAGTCACTGATACAATTCCTTAAGCTTTGGGGGTTTTTTGTTCTTTTTCTGTTTGAATGAAGTATTAAATTTTCCTTATACAAAAATCTAACTACTTGCTCAATCTTTTCCAGGTTTCCAGTGTACCATTTCAAGGGCAGTCATGACAGCCTTGTTACTGTAATAGCCTAATGCTACACTAACTACTGCCTCCCTGATCCTCAAATATCCAAGAATTAAAGTAGCTCTCAGGTACAATGCCAGTAACAGGATAAAAATTAAAAATGGCACTTATAAAAAATTCAAGCTAAAACAAAACACAAAAAAAACCCAACCCAAAAACCAACCAACCAAACACCCTCCAAAACAAACCAAAACAAAAACCCCAAACCCCTAAGTCCTCTTCTGTATCACTACATCCCAAGATGTCGTACGTCCTACATGAGATTTACATTCATGATTTTTGACAGCACAATTTCACATCTGACTATGATTAAATGTCAAATATTGCTTATCACATAAAAGAAGCATATACACATGTAACAATATACAAATTACAAGTGTATTTTCTTTAGCCTCTTAGTGAAGTGACAGCAACAATAATGAATCCTCATGAGTGAACTGTACCCACAACCAGGAGACAGAATTTTCACACAGATATTTTTCAGGACATCTCTGAAGAATAAAGACTTTTTAATATCCAAGTGAGTGAAAAGTAGCTGCCTCCTCCTGACAGGCCCAGCTGGACAGGTTCTTGAATTCCACAAATTGGATTTCAAAAAACATTCCAAGGCACCTATATTAAAAATTAAGAACTCCCAAAAACCCTCCCCACACTCTCAATTCTCAACTTGTTGCTCAAAGGAACGTTAACAAGCCTATTTCAGCAAGTGTTACCTTAGACAACTTATATAAAATACCTCTATAAGTAGATGTCTACACTTCTCTTCTCTTGCGTGGTAAGAGACAAAAGAGAAGGTTTCACTAAGATGAAAATTAAACTTACTTCCAGCAACTTACTTCATCAATGAAAATGTGTGTGAACGGAGTTAGGCTCTTGGCAGAAACGATTTTCTGAAGAAGAACTCCAGTTGTCATGTACAGCAACCTTGTCTCCTTTGTCGAAACGTTCTCTAAACTTAACTAATAACAGTAAGAAAAATACATACTAGCTGGAAACATATTTACTGTAGTTACAGAAGCATGCATGTGAAAGAACTCCATAATCAAACACAGTGTAAACTCACCAAAATTATTTACTCCAACTTGTACAAGTCTCCATACACAAGTGTTCTCACCAGAACCAATTAACTGGTTTTTCTTTGGGAGAAATCCCCAAAAAATGTAAAACTCCAAAGTTTATCAAGTAACAAAATGCCTTGCTGGGGACTTTAGACTAAGAATTCTTCGAAGACTTCTAAAGGTATATGCATACACCATCCTTTCCTCTGATATAAAGAGCAAGAAAAAGATTTTGCCAAAATGTAGTTTGCTTACAGGACAAGAAAGGAAAGAGGTTTAAGTTAAGTTATCACCAAGACCAGGCAACTTACTCCTGAGAGAAAACAGGACAAGAAAGGAAAGAGGTTTAAGTTAAGTTATCACCAAGATAAGTTAATCCTGAGAGAAATGTTTTACAACCCAGAATGAAACAGATTTTTGATTTCTAACAGACTTGTGTACCTTTAGGTATCTCAGGTGTAGCCCACCCAGGATGGCAGAGCTGTGACCACCATGTGCAGCTTTAAATCAGCCCAGAGCAAACACATGTGCACTCCACCATTTCCCTCTGGTTTTGCTCAGCTCACACAAGTGCTGGTGAAGCAAGCACAGCACATCCACATGCACTATCCTGAAGACAGTCTGGAAGCACAGTATCATTCTAATTCACTAGCCTAATGAATCAATTTAGCAGCTTAATAACTGGTTAATTTAAAGTATCAAAAATCAGAAAGGCTTTACATATAAACTACTTTGAAACAAACAACATACATAACTGTCTTGGTTTTGGCTGGGACATTTCTTCTTAGTAGCTGGTACACTGCTGTGTTTTTGGGATTCAGTATGAGAATAATGCTGATAACACTGTGTTTTGGTTATTGCTGTAATGTTTATGATGTGGCACGGAAGAAAACAGGTAACAGATGAAGCAGAAGCCTGACATGTAAGAGTCCATGCTATGAACATCTGTCACTCTCAGTTAAAAATCAAACCCCTCCAGACCTGAAAACTGTACAAAATTAGATTTAAGGGTAACAAAGAACAACTAACACACATAAATGGCACCACATGCAGCATATTAGGAAGCAATCTGAAGCTGTAAACCTATGAAGAAACAGAAACCTCTAAATGCACGCTAGAAAACACACACATATCACTCTAACTGGAAGAAAGAAAGGAAGAAACAAGAAATAGAATGAAGCAGAGGGGGCAATCTGAAGCTGTAAACCTATGAAGAAACAGAAACCTCTAAATGCATGCTAGAAAACACACACACACATCACTCTAAGTGGAAGAAAGAAAGGAAGAAACAACAAGACATAGAATGAAGCAGAGGGGAAAAAGAGCCCAGCAAATTTTGCTCAGAGCAAAGGACTCCAGAAACAGAAAATTCTCCATGAACATCCCTCCCAGGGTCAACACCAGTGGGAACCCACTGGCCTCAGGAACCAGAGCAGCTCAACCAGAGACAGCTGTGGCCTAACCAACAATGAAACCACCACCACAGCAGCTTAGTGGGGTACTGACAAGGAGCTGATCAGAGCACCAGGACCTGTGTCAAAAGAGAAATGTGACGAAGTTTAAACAGAGGGACAGAACTGAGCTTGAAGCTGAGTTGAACAAAGCAACAGGAGGAGACAGATTTAAGAGGAAAAATTAGTTTGAGTTTTTCACATGTTAAAAAAGAACAACAGATTGTTTACCAAAAAACCTGGTCATAAATGCATTAAAGTTATAACAGAGCTGGCAAGTAAATGTAGTCAAGTCAAACAGGTAGTATATTACTTAAGGAGCTGAAAGGAAAAATGACAGAACATAGTTCTCCTGCAACAATTTCAGTGATTAATAATGTAGACTTGTCTGATGCAGACATATATTTTCTCTTGGAGTCCCACCAGGATTTACAGTGTTCAAATTTACAAGCTGACTTAATTACAAACATTTAGCAGGAGACAGATAAAAACCAGCAATTCTACTTTAAAAGCAGACTCTCTAACACTTCTTCAGTATGCTAGATATGCTTAAAACTAATCAAGGAATAATATACAGTACTTTTTAATGCATTTTTAAATGCAATTTGGATTTCCCCATACCTGGTATCCTACAACTCCACCAAGCCTCCATGACCTTTCCTTGCTAATCCACCTGGCAAGGCTGCTGGCGCTGATTTTCCGAGGCTGGGTCACAGCAATGTTGCAGGGCAGAGACCGGCTCATGCAATAATCCAAAATATACTGGGGAATCTGGGTGCTCTTTCCACTGCCAGTTGCTCCTTCCACAACCACAACTGAGTTGTTTTGTATGAGAGACACTATCTGAAATAATTTTTCAAGTAAACTCATAAGTACACAAAGGAACTCGAAACAGGTTTCAAACAGATTTGAAATATCAACAGCTTCCAAGCCAGAAAGTTTCTTTCTTGAAAACACTGTGCCATCTTTTCTATCAGAGATAACTGGAGTCCTACAGTGCATTGGAAGATCACAGAAAAGAGTATGGGCACACACCCATGTATATATTTTACATTAATACCTATAAAGTGTAACAGCAACGCTTCCTCCTCTAAGACATTTTATGCAATGGTTTTGTAAAAAACCTGGAAGTTTTGTACTGTGTTTAAAACAGGAACAGAAATTACCTTACAAAAAACAACAGAAACAAACTAACAAAAAAAACCCACCCAAAAGCCACAACAAAACATTCTTTTAAGCTTTACTCCATGAGAGAAAGTAAACTGACATTACCTTTTCCCTGTGTTTGGCTGTAGGCATATCCAAATATTTACACTTACTTATTGGTACAGAAATTGAATCACTTGGTTCACACTGAGACAATGAAGTACCTAGGCATAAAAATAAACAAGAGTAACATTTCAATAGAGAAAGGAAAAGACCAGCAGGAGACTATGATGACAGTATTTGGAAGCCTAACTTCTCTAAAATGAAAACCACATACTTTAAGTATTAATAGCATAAATATTTTTTTTTAGTATTAGTGGACTAAAGAGATTTTCTGTATTTATGCAATTGCTGTTTTACTGGAAGCAACTCAAAAACATAGCTTCTATGTTTAAACCACCATCAGTGGAAAGGATTTATACAACTCTGTATGTTTGTCTCTTAATTTAAAAAAACTGGATTTTTGCAGTTTGTGTTACAACTGCCAATTTTACCTGTATACCCACGAATTTTTTACAATAATGAAAAAATTATGCCTTTTTCATGTACCCATGTTGTTTCCCTTAAAATCTACTGGATTCACAGTACAAAATAACCTGTAATTTGATATGAATACCATTATATTTCTACCACTTGGCCATTAAAATCTGCTAAGCACCATGATGACCTTTCAATGATGATACTACACTCTGCAGTCTCTTGGCAGAAGTTAGTCTCCATTAGCTCTGGGTAATATAGAACAAACATCTTTCAGAGCCAGCCTAAGTTTCTTCTCAGAGGTCTGCAATCAGTTTGACCATGCAAAACTAAAGAACAGGTCTGGAGGTGCAGAAGGGGAAAACTTGGACAAGACTGTGGTAAACAATAATTTTGCAAGTTACAATTAAACAAACACTAAAATACCCACTGCATAATGAAATCAAAAAAAGAAATGCTTTCCATTTCAAATGGGTTTCACCAGGTATTATGGCAAAATGGGTACTTGCATACTGACAATAAAACCCTGTACTTCTTTTTATGTAATTTTTTCTTTAAGAAAAGAGTAGTGAGACAGAATTCTATTAATCTTTCTACAAAGGCAATAATTACTTTAAAATAAAGGCTACATCCTAAATACTTGGCTGCAGTTACAGCTCCCTTTCTTTGGAAAGTGTAACAATCTCACATAGTAGTGAAGCAGAAGCAGGCAGAACAGCATCTTAGCTCTGTGCCATACCTCAGCGTGTTCCATGGCCCTGAATTGTCTCCAAATGTCAAAGAACATAAATTAAGTTATTCTAACACTAAAAAAAAAAGCCCCAAAAACTGGACAACTCACTATGACAGTTTCATAAGGCACTAAAAACCAGTTCTCCTAAAGCCACATTCTGCAGCAGAAGAAATTCATTTACCTGGACTCTGTAATGCAACAGTGAAAGGTGATCACTGCACAAGGATCTACTTAGCACCACTAAACACAAACAAAACCACAACTTGATAACAGCACCCCTTTGAAACATTAACTGTCCTTTTTTTAAAATACTTTTGGTCAAGGTTCTAAATATATTCCCCAGGAAAATGCATATATATATATAGCATTCTGCCACAGCAGCACTGCACGAAGGCTGCCTGGCTTCCCTCTGGCACAAACATGTCACAGCTGAGACATCCATAGCTGTGTGTGATTTGACCAATGCTGGAAGAAACCTCAAGCTGCGAGGGAACAGATCCCAGTAGCAGCAGATTCCTGCTAAAGCAGCATCACTTTCCCACCTCTATCAGGTTTTCAAAGAAACAACTGCAATTTTGAAAAGTTGAAATGTTAGAAGAAGAAAGCAATTTTTAATATATATATTAAAAATAAATAAGGAGGGAGGCACAAACAATTCAAAAGGTAGGATTCACGTAATAACCCTCTGTAATGCAGTAGAAACCCCAGTGTATTAGTAAGAAATCATTAACATGAAATTCAATTCAGAATTTTATTAAAAAACACCAAGAAACAAACCAGAAGCAAAGAAATAGCTACCAGTATTCACATACCTGCTGAAAAACAATTTAATTCATTTTGTATGTATCATTTTTTTCACTAATAAAACATAACTTTTTTTAATACTGCTTTTTATGTAACATTTCCAGGACAGCAACACCTTACTCTCTCCTAAGCACAGGTGTCTAGGAAAAAAAAAAACTATAAGAGAAGAAAATGGTGATCCAATGTTAGCCACAATCACCAAACAGAATTTAAGAAGTGACAGCCATACAACCATTTAGCAGATGCTGCAAGTACTGAACACTCTAAGTTTTGGTTTTTTTCTCTTCAAGACATGTCTTCTGTGCTTAAACTGAAAGAAACATTATTTTGTTTGCCTGAGGAACCAATAACATGACAACTGTGAGACTTCTGTCTGCAGAGACAGAACAGTTTTGGGCCTCAGCAAACTGGAAACTTGACATGACCCAAGCAGCACTGGAAATACCCCATCCTAACAAACTGAGGATAAACTCCATCTGAAATCTATTAATATCCTTAGTAAAAAACAAAACAAAACTGAGATGAGGGGAAATTGAACAACCATCTTAAAAGACCTTCATCTTTATTTTTTAAACATGAAAGTTGTTCTGAACCATGAAGACCCGCTGCAGAAGAGAACAGTTCAATGTGCTCACCTCAATGAAAGGTTATTCTACTGATTTAAATAACCCTTCAGTTGGGGACTCTATACCATACAGTGTAATTACCTTTAAATGTTTGAGTTTCCTTGGGGTTTTTCTTTATTATTTTTCATATCCAATATAATGATAATCCCCCAATGATAACAAGCCTTCAGAAAAACTGGTCATTCCTGCCAATACACCTAAAAATCAGCTACAGGTCTACAGAATTATCAGCAAGAGAGGCACAAACTTTTGCTTTTCAACTGCTTTTACTTTCTGAAAACTATTATTAGGACTGGGACAACTGATCCAACCTCCGCACACCTGTGTCAGGCATCGTGCTCTAACCTGGAGCTTGGATTCTGGCACAGAATGCAGAGTGCTTCCAACCTGAAAATAGTACATTGAGGAAGCAGGCAACTGCCCCCCATGGTCTGCTGGTTTAGGACAAGCAAAATATTTCAGTGTATAAGAAGCATTAATGCCAGTCCAGAATAATTAATTTCTCTATTCAGAGTTGGTGCAGAAAGGAAAGAGAAACCTCAGTTATGGCAAAGATTGATTTGCCAGCTCACTTCTCTTTCAATTATTATGCAAGTCCTGTAAAGATGACAATGACTAAAACAGTACAGTGCCCATGGAAAGAGCAATTTTTCAGTATCTCAGTTAATACAGCCCATACAGCAGATGTACTCCCTCTGGTACCCGTAAAGATGACAATGACTAAAACAGTACAGTGCCCATGGAAAGAGCACTTTCCATGGGCACTGTACTGTTATATCTCAGTTATTACAGCCCATACAGCAGATGTACTCCCTCTGGTATCCGTTTCGTGAATTGAATTTGAAGAGATCCTTTAACCTAAGATTAGATTTTTATATTCACCAGATCTGGGAGAAGAGTTTGTACAGGTGTTATCTTGCTATCCTGACACTAAGCAATTAAAACGAGATGCTTAAAACAAAATATACTTGAAAGTACTGGTTAGATGAATCAAATGAGATGCTTATTAAATCACTGATCATTCTTCTGCTGAGCTACACACAAAGTGATTACAGTTTGCAAGGAAGCTCATAGGAAAGGAAAGCCACAGGTAACAACTGGCTTCTACACTGAGCCAAAAAGCAAAAGGATTTCCCAAACATGGTGCTACCTCAAACACCAAGTACACAAAGGTGCTGCTGACTGATCCTTGATAAGCTTAATTCAGAGAATTCCTAAGAAAATACTTGTCTGGGGAAGACTTCTTTACTGCAATCCTCTTCACCTTGCACGTATCTTATATACAAAAGTTTTCGGGGTGAGGATCTGTGCTACGATTGATTTTCCTGGCATGGATCCATTCTGAATTCACAATATATAAGGTACATAACATTTGGCTTCTTATATATCAGAAACAATGTTTAAATTTCTTCTTCTCTGAAAGAAATTGCTTCAGGTGGGATCTGGAAGACCTCCAAAAGATAACAATTTATAGGTGTGAAAATCATGAAGACACAGGGGAAAAAAAATCTGCCATCCACAAAGCTTCATGAAAATAAGGATTTTAGAAGCTTTCTGAAGTTAAAAGCTCTAATCTGTACAGTTCAGAATTCCCAAATTTGGAAAAAAAGATTTTCTACAAGATAAGTAAAGTGGTAAGTGTCCCCTACACCCAACTCTGGAAGTCATCCTTCTGCACAACACCCCGTGACCTCCCTGAATCAGAAGTGCATGAAGCCTGGAAGAACCAGCACCAAATGTGAAACAAGCCTGGTGGGGCAGGGAAGAACTGCTAATGCTCTACTCACTTCGTTACTCGTTCATAACAATTATGAAAAAGAATTTTCTTCTGCTTTTATTTAATCACTTCAACTTCCTTTGCACAGCAGTATCATTTCTACCATGCTCTGCAGAAGCCAGAATTCTAAATGCAGTTCCCTGATGATCTGTTTCCCCAACACAGAAGCAGATCAGGCATTTCTGTTTGTCATCTCAGTATAAAAGCATATGCTCTTTCAAAGAAATTGGAAAGCACAAGATTTAAACTCAATAGAACTTCATCAAATAACAAGGCATAAGCAGTACAAACACAAGCAGTTTCAGCAACTGCAAGATTTAAAACAGGCTATCAATTTGCACAGAAAATATTGCCTATAGTCAGAACAGCAACTCAGAGAAAGAAACTACAAAAGGGGTACCAATTCAGAACCTTCAGAAAAAATCAGTTTCTCATTTCCATGTTGTGAAGGTTATTTCTTGACTACATTTGTATTCAACACAGCTCAACTCACAGGTCCTGGCCTAGGTAAGTCCTTGATCATTTATGACAGTTCCCATGTTCTTGAGGAAAACAAACTTTCAGATCAGTATAGCTGATAGTTACAAATACATCTCTAAGCTCTTAAACTCTGAATGGTGAGCATACTACATTAAAGCAGTCTGAAATGTAGAACAACATACACATTTATAAGCTATAAAATTAACAGTACAATTCTTATGCTCACTTACTGAGCTTTTTTTATTCTACTATCCTAACACAGTATTTCTGTGTCTGTCTGTAAGTCACAGTTAAGGGCAGTTCAGAAGCAGGATTTTCTGAAGCTTTCATGTTATTCTACATCTAGGTGGGATCTGGCAGCTCAGCCTCAGAATGCCGTAGGAATGTTCCAGTCCTGCCACTATCCAGTTTGCTTGGAGTCTGCCACGGGATCACACACTGCTGGCAGCAGAGCACTGATGAGAGCAGGCAGGCATCAACACTGCACAGAACAGCTCCTGAAGCAACTGAGGCTCCAGACAATGAGACAGACAAAGAACACAACAGGGGGAAGGAAGGGGGGGCAAGAAACTGAGGAAAATATCTAATGCATTAATAATAACAGATTATGTAGTATGTCAATACTTTAGTAATGTTTTATGGTTGTTTGCTAACTAGATGTTGCTTCAGTAAGTTACAACTGGAAGGCAAGAGTAAATATTAGAAGGTAAAATTTCAAGGACAAATACTTTAGGATAGACCAAGAGAAAATAGGTATTTATAAAATAAAGTACCAGGATGACTACACAGAAATATTTCATAAAAAGCCTAAGTTATAATCCCGCTTCTTTCACAGAAAGAATCAGTCCCATTCAAAGTCATGCAGACCAACCGTGCTGCTAAAGTTGCTACTCTATTTTATACAATATTCTGATTTAGTAGGTAAAAGACACTGAATGAGCTACGGTATATCCTTGCATTAATCAACACTACTGTATAATTAAAGAAACTAATCTACAGAAATGAATCTACAGAGCTTAATCTTACTCAACTTGTTCCTGTCTCTCCTTTGCTAGTAAAGCACATGAAGAACTAGGAAAATGTCATTCCTGAATGACAACACTGGAAGATCCTTCCAGACTCTTTATTCCCCCATTTCTACCTTTTAATACTTCCTCTCCCACAAACTTTATGTAACATCAAGGGAACAAGAGACAGTATTCTGTGGTTAGGACAGAAGACAAGGTGCACTGCACATGGTGAACTGGCCAACTGCCCCTACTGCATTCTCAGCTGATGAGAAATCCCACAAGTGGCTTCATCAGCCTGAGTTCCAGAGGCCAGAGAATTTGCAGATGCACTGAAAGACACCAATTTCTATAAAATTTCTCAGTTTGTCATATTTTGGTATGCCAGCAAAGGCATACAGAAAGTATTAAGAGAATGACACACAGAACAGACAAAACATAAATGTCCTTTCCTCAGGAAATCAGCTACATTAACAAATCTGGAAATTAAGAAGCACAGTAAGCGTTTGAAGCTGAGCTGCCCTGACAAGTGAGTCAGCCTCACAGGGCTTTTAGCAGAGCTCCTAGGAAAGAAGTGCAATAGAATTTCTCTCTAAAGGCAGCTCAAAGCAACAATCAAGTACACAGAGAAATATGAATAGAAAATAGGAAAACAGAACAAAGGCACGAATCTAATGGTATAATGGTATCTTGTCCTTGCAGATTAATTTAAATCCTCTATCTACATTTATCAATACAACAAGCCAAATGTATGAACACTTACCTATGCAACAGCATTATACATTGTAGTTTCCAGAAAATAAGGAGTTGACTTTTTATTACCACGCTTTAGCTATAACAAACTAATCCACACACATCAATAAACAAAAAACTACATTCAATTTAGAGAGTGAGATAGTGTAAAGACAACAGGGAGAAAAAGGACAGGTACATCTGAGTTTATAATAGGAACTAAATAGTTTTATTTCTTTTTTTACCTGGTTTATAGACAAGCTGACAATTTCCAGCTACATTCAGCTCTTGTTCTTCCGTTTGTCTGTATTTTTTAGCATATTCAGTTCCAATGTTCTCTGAGATAGGTAGTCTGAAGAGGAAAGAAATGATAAATCCATAAATGCTTCCTAACACAAGTCTTTGGGATCTCTGGAAATAACAGCATTATACAGGAAGTTCTCCACATCATGCTACTACTTCCATGACCAAACTTCAGAAAAAAAAATTAGTCTCTGCATTAAGATGCAGCCAGAGGAAAATGCCACATTACATCTTTTTGTTTAGACCCAAGAAGACTGAGCTCCCAAAACATCATCCTGTAAGGCTTCAATACTACGAATTTCTCTTCTGATTAAACACTACAATTTCTTCTGAACAAAGATGAAATAGCTCTGCTTCTTCAATTCTTGACACATACAATTAGGAAAGTGCATGTAATTCTTGCATGATTCCCTGGAGACAGGGGAAGTGGACAGGAGGAAACAAACATCTCACTGCTCGCAAGACTGTAGGCCAAGAAATTATGGTAGTCAGGGAAAAAATTAACATAATCATCACCTGCTCACTGAATTTTATGGAAATCTATTACACACAAGAAATGTTGATCATTATATAAATGTAATGAAATGAGATTTTTTAGAAGTCTCTTCTACAGAAACAGTGTAAAAAAATTCACATGAAATTCACTAGAGAATAAAGTAGCAGGTTATGATCGCATGGTTATTAAATCACAGATGAACTTAAACAGAGAAGTTTTGAAAACATCAAAAGCGATTTTTAAGTAAAATAGAAACTAAAGGTTAAAACTACAGTTTTGCACATTAACTTCAATTGTGGGCCCTGTGCAAGCCTTACCTATACAGCAATTCATGAAGGCATAGCTGACCTGTTTCCAAGTTTTATGAAAGGACAGTGCTGTGGAAGTGTTTATTGCTTGGCCCAAAACACATGCAATGCTGACCCCAGAAACAGTGACACTGAAAACTATATAAGATTTTTAACCTGGCACTACATCACACAGCCCTCAACAGAGGGAAATTCCCAAGATTTTGATAGCATGGAGCACTCACCTTCTCTGCCAAGGCAAACTCTGTGCCAGCTTGACTCTGCTACAGACCATTCACTCAGCCCAGTTCATAACAGGACACCAAGTATTTGTCACCTACTGCTGCCAACAAACTAGGAGAGAGCTGCTGATCCAATTTTAACAATATTTTAGGCATAGAGCTACAGCAATTTCCCCCAGACTTCAAGTATTTCTTAATGGAAATAAGGACTGCACCCATCTGCAAAATGGCTATATGAGCAACAGCTGCCTACATCCAACTTCCATCACCAAACCCTTCTAAAACACTCCTCAAAAGGTCTGAATCAGTAAAAATATGTAGAAATATTCATACACAGGATGTCTGACTGCTTGCAATGTAGGTTATTCCACTGAGTGTATATTAAACACAAATAAAGCCGAAAAATTCCATGATGTCAAGTATTCAGTAGCTGAAAATACCATAATGAAGCTTGGCTGAACAATCTCACTTGGACAGCATTGTATGCACATACTACACATATTTTTACTGATATAACCAATTATTTTTTCACTTCCATAAACCTGAAGCCTCAATGAGTATGCTGGACACACATATTCTGAAAAGAAAACTTGGTTATGCAGTAAATGCAACTTGTCCTTAGGTTCTCCATGAGGAAAAAAACCCATCCAGGGCAAGCAGTCAGTGCTGTCACAGAGGAGCAGGTACTGCTTGACTGTCAGAGCCTGGAGCAACAGCAAGCAAATCACCAACAGCAAACTCCCACTGAGGGGCTAAGGCTGGGAAAGGCAGGACTGTGCTCCTTGCTGCCAATTAAGACCTTGCAGATGCATCAGTATCTAAGCAGTAGCTAAAATCAGTTAAGGAACAGAGAAGGAACAGTAATAACTCAATATATAAACAAACTTATTAATTATATCACTTGGAATTTTAAGAGTCTTAAGCATTTCAGACCAGGCTCTCAGAAATGTTTACGTATACATATGTATGTGTGAGCTTTCAATCTCTGCCTGTACAGCTTGAGGAAAATGAGGACAGCATGACCTCAGTCATTTGCGAGAAAAGATTAATTTTTTTTTTTTTTTTTTTTTGTTGTTTGGACAGCTGAATATTTTATTTCAAGAATTAGGTTTTCTGTCTTCAGAAGACAGCATGCAGTAAATGAACCTCAGGCTACACAATGAATAAACAAGATATTTAATAGCCAGTCATTAGGAATAAACATTTTGCACTTGACGTACCAAATCAGGCTCCAGTCTTGAGGAAAATCATATGCAACTGGAAAATTACATATGGGAATATGAAATGAACAAATAAGTTGCTCTATATCGTTTATGGATGTTTTAATGCTGTACTTTTCGGCATTAATAAAATTAAGAGCTTACAGAATAATGGGGGGTTTTAAGCAAAATGGTAAAAAATTACTATAAAGCCCCCTGGAGCTCTCCAAAATCACCAGAATGATACAGTCCTTCCAAGTAATCATTAATACACCATTAGTGGGAGGTATCATCCTATATACCTGGATAAACAAAGCAATTTCCCTTAGGTGGAAATCTAATGATTTTCAGCAAAATTTGCTGACAGCACAAGAATAACAAGTTTCAGAAATTCAAATCCATTCCAGACCAGAAAACAGCAATGCAAATGAAGAGACTTTTCTGGATTGTACTTATGCCTGTCTGCCCCATACACCACTTATTTCTTCCCCATTTCTATTCCTTCTGACAGTCAAAACCCATCTCTGGTACACCTGCCATGTTATAATAATATAATCCTCATGATTTCCAGAGTCCAGACTTTTCAACTGCACATCCAAACCAGGCAAAACTCCACCAAATTAAGAAGCAGTAAAAGCATTTTTCTGACTAACACAACCATTGAAACTTGAAGTCACCAACTGAAAGAAATGTAGGAGATTTTAAATATTCTGGGTTTTTTTCCTTGCCCCTCATATTAAAAAATAGGTGAACTTGATCTTATTCATATCAATGGTATGTTTCATCCTCAAAAGCAGCCAGATTTCTATGGCAGAACCTGCAAATATGTGACATTCTGTTCACTCAAGTGGAAAAAGGCAGACAGAATTATAAAGCACTGAGAACACAATCAATCACTGACTTCACTCAAGTAAGTCCTGCTGCATCCTCAGATTTACCCATGTAGGTGTGTACATTTCAAGACCTACCTATTTCAGAAACTCTCAGACGTAGCAGGCAGGACTTCGAGCCTGACAAGCAGTGGTCAGCAGGACCCCTTCCATCAAGGCAAAGAAGTACACGCCTCTTCTTGGAAAAGAATTAACTCATAAGGCAGCGTTAACAGGATTCTTTCTTCATTCTTTATTATGTGGTTTAACTACTGTAACATTTCCCTGAAATCTGAGGGGTGCTGGAACATATGCCCAGTCAAACTAATTTTGAGCAATTGATTGAAACAAGGCATTTTTACACATAAAATTAAATACAGCTGCCACTTCAGGGGAATTAATAGAAGGAAAACACAGTTTAACACCAAAATTGTTGACACATTCAATTGTAAATGCTTTCAAATAGACTGAGGGTGCCTTTCTTTACACAAATCAAGCTAGAGAAAGGTCTTTTTTCAAGCTATATAATGACCTCTAGTAAGTCAACAAGGCATCATAACAAAGTATACTGAGTAAATATTGGTATTTGAGCACTTGAAATAATAACTAAAACATTTTTGCATACACTTAGCTGCCAAAAATAGAATTGCCCAATCTCACCGTAACTGTGGCAGGTAATTTGTTTGGCCCTTTCCAATGACATACATTAACTGTGATGCCATTGCCTACACTGAACATAGTTAACACTTCTAGTAGAAATGCTTAAAAAAGGCTTTATTAAACTAAGACACATGTAAGTCTTATTCCCTCATTTTTTTAACTGCTTATGCAAATTAACTGTGATGCCATTGCCTACACTGAACATAGTTAACACTTCTAGTAGAAATGCTTAAAAAAGGCTTTATTAAACTAAGACACATGCAGTCTTATTCCCTCATTTTTTTAATTGCTTATGCAGCATACCTGACTGTATAAAGAAAATATCCAAGCATGCAATGAACTTCCAAGGATTAAGATGCTTGCTTATCCAACTTCAAAAAAATTTCTATTAACCACTTAATTTTGAGGAAGAAGCTTCTATTCAAGGCTATGCAACTTCTGGAACTTGTCTACCTCAGAGACAAAAATGAAACGAAGCCTCCTGCGATTGAGTTTTTAAAAATTCTTATAGATGTACTTTCTGCTTATTTATGTTCTATCTCATTTAACACAAAAAATCCTGTGCACATGGGACTAGAAGCTGAACATGAAGCTAGTATCACCCATTTCACAGATCACAAGAGAAGGACTGCCCCAAGTCATGGCTTCCGTCACGCACACAAACTATTCACCTATTTACAATCTTTGGGGAGGAGGAAACCATTTGAGAAAAACACTTAGCCTCATAATACACAGAGCAATATTTTGCTTTACAATTTTAGTAAGATATATACAGCAGACTGTTTCAAAGCTTCTCTTCTGAAACTAAAGTAATGTGACACTTTACATAACTGAACATTTGCCATGACAGTAAATAACCTTCCACTGGGTTTACTGAAGGACATACTAAAAATTGCTTTCAACTGGAAGCTGGCTTTCTATACAAAAGATTAGTTCTACCTGCAGAAATACACTAACTTCAATGACATTATGTACTGTCATTCAAAATCCACACTTCAGCTGCAAAATAGATTATTAATAGAATTCAGAATAAATGTAACATATTAAAAACTAAAATACAGATTTTGCAAAGTCAGTACATATTACTTCAAGAAGCTAAGAATCAGTTAGGTGCATGCTTTTTTTTTTCCAGTAAGAGAGCTGTTCTGAAATGTAATTTGCTAGATTTGGTGATAAAGTCTTCATATTTAAGCATTTCAAAAGACTTGCACTGCTCTTCCTCAGGTGTAATTCAGATTGCCTGTTTTAAAACCTTAACTAGATGGAGAGGGGGGGCAAAGAGGGTGGGAGAACACTAAAACAACTTTGTAAAATCCTGAAAAACTCAAATGCTAATATTTGGATTTGGATAGACTATGGAAACTCAGTAATTCAGAAATACTTCACATATGTCAAACTAATAGCTCTGCACCTTATCCACAGCTAAAATCCAAGAAATATAAAAAGCATAAATGCCAGGATAAAACAGCCCAAATCCTCCAATTTACTGTCTTCTGCCCTGGGATTTTATGTCAGTGGGATGAACTGCTGGGCTTCAAAGAACTGGACTCTTCTAGGAGATGAGCTGCTGATGAGCTTCTCTTCCTGCATCTGGTTACCCACTTGGTAAAATCCAGATTAAACAAATCTCTGAGAAAAATAAACTGCAAGTAAGAGACTGCTCTGAATTTAGAAGAATGCTCTTGAAGATTACTATTAAAAGCAGGATTGCCTCAATTTCAAATTGATGCCTGTAACTCCCCTGCCTGTTAGCGATGTGTCATCAGCACTAGAGACATTAATGCTACAGACAGTCCAAGTGGAAGGAATCAGCTTCAATCATGTCCTGTTTTTATTCATCTCAGCACCAGGATGCAATGATAGCTTATACAAACTTCTGCCAGTTAACACTGCTAAAAGAAAATTATTCTGTTGCTCACTGTCACAGCAAAAGACCAAACAAGGAGTCTTACAAAGAGGCCTCTTGAGTAGGCTCATGGCAGATTTTGCTCATAATTGTTAAAAAAACAAAAGCAGTAGTCAAATTCTCTCTGAAGTGACCAGAAGAGGTAGATTCACCATCTGTCTGCTGCCCAAAACAGCCAGAGTGAGTTATTCTGTCAAATAAAAAGAAAAATACACTACAAAGTTGATTAAACCCATAGAGTAGCACTGCACTTATAAATGAAAGGCAACCATCCAACCTGCTAGCTGTGGATAAATTATTTTATGGAATCTCTCTCTGCTCAGATGATAGAGCATTGATAAACTTCCTTTGTAACTGTTCTGGACCTGGCTGGGATAGGGTTCTTTTCTTCATAGCAGCACTATGGTGCTGTTTTAAATTGTGACTAAATCAGTACTTGTCAAAATAAATGTTTTAGTTCCTCCTGAACAGCATTTGCAGAGCACCCAGGACCTTTTTGCTTCTCACACTACATCCTCCCCTGCTCCCCATAAACAGGCTGGTGGGTGCACAAGGGTTTGGGAGGGGGCACAACCAGGAAGGCAACACAAGAGATGCCATTTAGTGTCATGCTCAGCAACAAAAGGGGAGAAGAGTGGGGTTTCAGTTCAGTTTGCCATCTGTTGTTCAGAACTTGGCTGGGGATTGGTCTGCCTGTGACAGGTGATGTGGGGCTGCCTCTGCATCACTTTGTTTTCTTTCTGTCTTGTTCCACTTAAAACAGCTTTTATTTTGAACCCAAGTTTCTTTTTTTTTTTTTTTTTCTGTTCCATCCCTCATTCCCTATTCCCCTGAGGAGGAATAATGGTAAGCAAGGGCCTGTGAGGTGCTTAGGTGTCTACAGGGCTTAACCCCCAGCTATCACCAGCCCTTCACACAAAATCGATGGCAACAAACTACAGTATATGATTATTATCAACAGATACTGGGAAGAATTATGGAACATGCAACACTACCCCAACATGTTGAAAGGTTAGCTAGGTAGCAATGCTCATGATCTGCTATCAGCACTTCCAGTCTACTAAGAATTGCTCAGTGTCACACTGAGTCTCATTTATAGAGAGAGCTTGTACTTCTTGCTTCTTTCAACTACAATAGTCAACAGTATCTCACATGGTACAGATGCCATCAAATTTTCCAAGGAAAAAAGAGTAAGAAGCTTCTTCTTCAACCATTCTCATCATTTATCATGCCTGGATGCTCACATCAGTCTAATATTTGGTTAAATAGAGCTGGTTTTGAACAAACTGCTCTTCAGCACCAGCTTCTACTCAAACTGGCTTTGTCAAAAAAAAAAGCAAAAAACCAACCAAATTTAAAAGCAGTACTTCCAAGTTACATCTTAATTTTCAAGTCCTCCCTCACATTTGTGATGTCAAACAGGAGGAGACGAAAGAGAAATTCCCCAAACAGATGAGATTTAGAGTACCAGATATTTTCAGGTTAATAGTTATAGCCATGAACCATACTTCCACTCCTTCACACCAAACCACCCACATGGCAGAACAAAACCACTCCAAAAACGAGGGCTCTTCCAAGAGTGCTGGGTTTGGTTGCAGCTCTTCAGTACAAACCATACCCAGAAGACACCCATCACCGTGGGTGCAAATGTTACCTTAGGAGGAATTCTTTTAACATGACAGGTAGTAACCCTACTGACAATCCTTTCTCCACAGACAAATAAGAACTAATACCAGACTCCCTAAATACACCTTGGAAAATCAAGAAGTAAATAGAACTGTGTATAATTTATATTCAGAGTAAAATAAAGTAACAGAATATAGCCAGCACCTTACTACAGGAACTGTTCTGTCACACACACCAAGGAATGCTCCTTGTTCTGACTGGGGATGCACAGAGTTGACCACTGAAACATAATTAATTAAGTTACTAATAAAGACAAACTTCACAGTGCCTTCCTTCAGGGAACAGACCCACTATCAGCCAAAGTCAAGCCAAAATCTCCACCCTGACACAGCACTTCAGATCCACAAGTACATTTAGAGACAGCTGGGTAGAATTTTGACTCTTAAAAGTTTCCAGGATTAACCATGGGCTAGAAACTGCATGAACTACTGCTCTACTTTTGAGGTCCAGTTTACACAGCCAGCCCCACATTAGCAGTCATCTATCTCCTCTCACACCTGAATTGCATACAAAAGGAGAAGCAATATAAATTTTCAGCTTCAATGCTCTCCTACCAATGGAAAGATGGACATGATCCTCAGGATCCTGCCTTGAATCTTCAATGATGCAACCAAAAATTAGGTTGAAAAATAAAAGCTGTAGGTTTCTCATTTAATTACTTTGCACACCTTCCAGTATGCATTTCTAATTTGCAAAGACATTATAATGGTTTTACACTGTACAACAGTTTACTTGCAGATTGATACAGTGGAAAAAAGTGGTGACATGTTAACTGTGCTGTAAAGGAGGTGGCAAGGAGCATTTTAATTTTATCTGAAAATCTGTCAGGACAGTTCTGTCATCATAAACCTAGCTCCCTTCCTTTTTCATAGTACCACATTCAATGCAATGTGAAAACCTTCCAGTTGAAGAGGATTAATACTGACATTTGAATTTTTCCAATGTATAAGTAGTATCAGCTTTAATAACAGCCATACACGTCATCCTTTATGTTGTATGACATCTAGAACAAATTTAGAGAACCTTTGTTCTCCCAACTGTTCAACACATCCGTGGAGGGAGAAAAGTAGGGATGAAAAATACTTAAGAGGAGCACAGACAGTCGTTAGAACAAGGGCAAGAAGAAAGGCAGCGTTTCTTAAACCATGGCTACTGTTTAGATTAATAGGAAGAGACCGGATAACTGGAATGGAAAATGGCTCCTTCAGCGACCTTTAGTGTGCACAGTGTCATCCCCAAGAATGAACCTTGAAAATGGATATGCTCAAAATATTCATCAAGGAAACAGGGAGCAGGCAGCTGACAGCCACTCGAGAGAGAAGCAATGCCTATGGTAAGACTTACAATTCTGGGCTTTTTAGATCAGTTTGACCTCAATTTGCATCTCCTTATCATTCTATTCCTTTAATTAGATTAAAGTGTCTTTCATGGCACACTGTAGGTGTTACAGTCTGGCTTCTTTAAACACATTTGAAATGTTAATTAAAAATGCTAAGAGCTATGCACAGTAATGAAAATGTATAGAACCATGAGATTGATGAAATTCATCTGGAAGAAACATTTAATGTAGCGACAAAATCCTGAGCCACTGTCAAATACCTCTTTTCTGTCAACACTCACTTAACAAAAGCTTTAGATGATCTTTACTAGAGAAAAACTATTCTTAGCTGTTTAAAAATGACAGCAGAACAGCCTGATCCCCCTCTAATGGGAGATAAGTCTTCCAGCATCTCAATGGCCTGAAAGTTTAGTTTGATGATAAAAGCAACATAGTTATTTTTAGCACTCTACGGGCATAAAAATACAGCTCTAAACTGTGACCTACAGCTATGCACAGCCAAGCATCACATCATACGACAGCCTTAACTTCAGCTACAAGCACGTCTGTAGTTGCTTCAGACTATCATTATTCATCTCACTACCAACAATACATTTGGATGGATTTAGCAACAAGCATTTGAAATTGTTACCATCTTTTTTCAAATTGCTGCCATCGGCAGAACTCAATTCAAAGGTAGGAGATCTTAATGGACTTGGTAGAAAGTATTTCAGAGACCATGTTAGGTTAAATGGATTACTGCTTCTCTCCAGTACAGAGGATGAAAAAGAACCTTAAAAGCAGAAAAACTTAAACTGTCATATTCAGTACAAAAAGTCATTTTTTCTGGGAAGAGTTTGAGTAAATGAAAAAAAAAGAAAATAGGAAAAAGAAAAAAAAAACCTTGTTTTCTTCCAGCAGTAATAAGAACCTGCAAACGGGATATGCTAGAATAAGAGACCTTCAAGCAAACTCACCTGAAACAACACTGTTCACAGACAACTGCAAAGGTAATTTATATTATTTTATACTAGTTTGCATGTTTTTGTGTGCATGATTTGCTACAAAGTGCAAATTAAAGTCTATTCTATCAGATTTATGTGTCCAGATTAAGTGAACAATATTTAAAATAAAAACTGATACATAAGTTGGAAAACCAGATCAAGCAGAGTTCTAGCACTTAACTACTAATTAATTAATTTCATTTTTAAATACATGTGTAAGTTCAAATTTTTGAGGTTTGGGAGTTTGTGTTTTGTTGGGAGGGAGTATTCTTTTTTAGCTGGGTTTTTTTTGTGGGGTTTGAGGGGTTTTTGTTAGCTTGCGTGATAGGATTTAGGGGTTTCCTCCCTCTTTGTTTTTTAAATCATGTATAGTATGGATAAAATATGAAATATTTCCAAGGTGACAGATATGTACTTTCAAATGCTGTAAATTTCACAGAGTATGTTAACTAAGAAAAGAGACAGGAAATATTGTAAGGTGCGAGACTTGTCATATTTCATTATGGCCTGGTGATTTTGTACAGCAAACTATTCTAATAATTAATAAAGTTTCATTCAAACATTCAGTTCGTAAGAAGGAAGTCTACAGGTAAAAAGAATTAACCAGTTAGACAGACACAAGCAAAATTAATATTCTTCCTCTCCCCAGCTTGAAAATGCCATTTTTTGGCTGGATGAAATCGTCAAAAACTGATTCCTACAAATCCGCAAGATGTCCTGGATCAGAAGTAGTTACAAAAACCCTGCTGAGGGAGTTGAAATGGCACCTGAAAGAGCGTGAAAGGTTAGTGCAAGAGATCGAAAATGAACAAAAAGTCCAGAAAACTGGCACGGATTACAACTGGCTCAAGAGCTACCAAAACCCTCAAGCAACAATTCCAGCTACTGAGCAACGGCAGCTTGAAGTTCTGTGCTCTCAAATCCAGCCTTGCCAAACAGGAACTGTTCTCAGCAGGTAATTGTTCCATATTTCCCTGACTCCGAGCTCTCTATCACAAGTAAGGTTTTCCCTACCTAACCAAAGTTTGTATTTGGCTCTGCTCTTCCAAAGTAGCAATGACCACCAAATGGAGAGCATTTTTACAGTTGTTTTAGAAATTAGATCTTCACTTTAATATGCTGCACTTGAAGGAAGTTTTGAATCAGGATTTTCCTGGTCTAATCCAAACAAAGGAAATCTCATATGACTTTTCAATACTTCCCATTTTTCCTGTTATTTATCCCTACTATTTATTAAATAGCAACCCAGTGACTAAAAATCAAACAAAAGGATTAATGTGATGCACTATTATGCAGAAATCCAGCCTGTCTACAATACCAGAAAGCTCCTAAAAACTTGAAAATCAGTGCAAATTAAAAAAAAAAAAAATCCCTCCATGCATTTTATAAAGAAAAATTCTCCTACGCCTACATTTAAGTACATTTTCTAGGGACTCAGAAACGACAGAACAAGTCCATTTGCCTTTTAAAGCCCAGAATACACCTAAGGGCAAAGTCAGTTTAAATCAAGTTACCCAGATGGGCCAAAGAAAAAAAAAAAAAAAAAAAAAAAAAAAAAAAAGCCTACCCAATTACAACTGCTTTCAATCCACAATAGCTGGAGCACATCCAGTGCATTGTTAGAGCTCTTTTCCTCTTACAATCTTCTGGGGGAGGTGAGTGGGGAAATGTGGCAACAAGGAAAAAATGACACTAGAACTCAAGTCATTTCCTCCTCCCCCACCCCCAAATGACCAGAGAGGAAAGAGAAAAGTTTTCTCTGCCAATGATTAGATTTTGATTTTTGCTTTTTTCTAGATTTCGGGAAGTTCTGGCAGAAAATGATGTTTTACCGTGGGAAATAGTCTACATATTCAAGCAAGTTTTAAAAGATTTTCTTACCACCATTGAGAGAGAAAACCAAGCAGAGCAGCTGGTAGATGCATGGAATACAAATTGCCCTGAACATTTTAGTCTGCGTGGTGACAGCTCCAGCAAGTCGGACAAAGATGAAATCCCCACGGTTTCAAGTTATGTCGACAAGAACACACAAAGCATGTTTCCCACCTTCTCTCACAGAATCTGGAATCTACCCTATTACTACCCATCAAGTTAAATTGGTTTGTGTTACTTTCAAAAAGTTATGTAGTTATCCACATTCCTTTCCTGTAATTGCCATCCAGACACACAAGAGTAAGAAATGTGACATGCTCCCCTTTTTACTCCAAGTTTAGAAATTAAAATCCTTTGTAATAGCTAGTATGCAGTAACTTAGGTATCAACTCACCTTTTATCTTTATAGTTTGTTAGAGCTCTTGTGTTTGAAGACATCTTTTAATCAAAAACGTAGATGCTTCTGAAAAAAATTCTGAGGCAGTTTAATTTTCAGCCATATAGAGCTAGAAGTATTTAAACAACAAAAAAAAAGATTGCTTTGTATATTTTGAAACAGCATCAATCCACAGAGTGTTAGACAAAAACTTCTGTGTTTATCACATAGCTTTTAGGCTCTATGGGAACTTTATACTGTGTAAAATAAATGGTTTAATATAACACCAGCTAAATAAACTGGTAAATACTTTTGGAGCTTAATAATTATTTCTTAACTTCAAGAATAATTGCATGAAAATACTGACAGGACTTGGATGCATGTACTATTTCTATGTTTTTCTCTAAACTATACTCTGCACATGCTGAAGTAGGTGAAGGTGGACAGCTAAATGAAATCACTAGATATTTAACAGCATTTAACAACTAGCTTTCTATTCTTTAAAAAATATTGAATTATTTAATTTTAAATAGCTGTTTTTCATTTGACTTACTTGTTCTGAAACTCAAATTCGGCATTAAACCTTTAACATTTTGATCAAATCAGATGGTACCTCTCTAGAATAGCCAAGGAGTCAACAGATCATTTCCAGCACACACGGTGTTCATTCTAAATTTACACACAACAAAACCTAATGTTTCTCAGCCACCCTGATCTATCACTGTGGGTTGACAAAGTTTTACAAGATTAATCACATACATAGCAGTCACGGTCACAGCAGGCAATTAGAGCAGAAAATCAATGAAAACATATGCCAGAACTCAGTTGGCCACATTTCCAATTGTGCTTCCATCACTGTAACAAGTTTTTACATGTTTCATATAATGCCATCTTCTCTGTATTTGCTTTTATCTGTCTGCTGGATCAGAAAAAAAATGTGCAAGACTCATATGGCCCAATTCACAGAATACACTATTTCATAAACAAAACTGCTTCCCCTGGTATTTTCTTCAAACAAACTGAAGAAGCCAATCAGATTTCATCAAGTTGGTAACACAGCTTTAAGGCATCTTATGCTCCACAGCTGTATCCCCCATTCCAGAAAAAAATTTACTAATAATGCAACACAAATTGGAGGAACAAATGGCACAATAATTTACTAAACACTTTTAAATCTTTCTAAAAATGGTTTTAAAAAGCCTTTGAAAAGCTTATGATATAGAGAGCACTTCATGTAGAAAAAATAAAGCATAATATTCACAGAAGATAAATCAGTGAGAACTCCTATACCCGCATAAAGGACAAAGCACAGGAGGACTAGAGCAAAAAACTTCCAACAGGTTTAAAATAATAAAAGCTGTAGCTCAATACCAAAAGTAACTAGCCCCTCCACCTCCCATAAACTAAATACACAAAACTTCCAAGGACATGCAAACTTCTTATATCTGCACTCAGAGCTGCTATAAACTCTTTGCCCTCTTCTTGTCAGTTTGTGGATTAATGTTCTGAACTTATACTGCCCTACTGATGCAGCACATGGAGTTGGAGATTCTTCTCCTGCAGTTCTGATCTAATCCCTGCATGAGGGCAGCAAGAGATTCAAAGAAAGGTTTTTCCATAGTGACAAAACTCTCACAAGTATTAAATATCAAGTACCTTTCTTACAGGAAGGAGGGTACTGAGTATTTAAAAGGCATTGGCTGGATTAATATTAGTCTGAGAATTAAAAATCATAATGCTGGTTTCAGATAGCTTTGAAGTGGTCAAATGTGCAAGATACCTGCAATGGCAATTCATGTAACTTTATTTTTTTAAATGGTATTCTCACAGCTTACTATCTGAAAAATAGGTTAAAAACCTCTAAAAATGCAGCTTCCAAATTTTCACTCATGGAAAATGGAAGGCCAGTAACATGGAAGATCCACTTACCTTAACAATCACCAAAAATGAGTAGGGAAAACAAACAAACACAAGATAACCCCAGATACAACTTACCCACGCTTTGCAAACTTCATTTCTATTTCATTTTAACATGAGCAAATGCATTTTTCCAAGTTCAGAAAGAGGGACCATCAACTATGCCATATTCTAAAAGGCAGTTGCTGCACAATACTTTAAAAATATAGGTAGGCATCATAGCCAACTCAGTGTTAAATCCCTATACAGTGCCAGGGAAATCCACAGAAAGGCTCACCTACCTTTATATGCATGTTTTAATCAGATTACTGCAACCAGTTCTAGTGTCCACATCTGGTGGAAAGGGAGAAGGAGAAAGCAAAGGAGAACTGCAGAAGGTAGAGGAAAAAAAATATCCAAAGGCTGAGAAAATGCCATCCTCTAAGGACTCACTTTGGCCATTTTTTCAGATACTGAAATGTGGGGTAACTCTGTGGAGTACAAGCACTTCCTCCTGACTAAATTGTTATATACTCTCTCTAGTTAAAAAGCAGAGAAAAGCATAGGAAAAGCAATGGGGTAAGGGCAAGAAGCCAAACTAAAAATGTTAAATATATTTTAAAGAAATTTGTTAGATTTACCGCAACATGCTGCCAAGAGAATCTGTTCTCCAACTCACCAGCTGACACAAGCTATTTGCTAGAGTTATGCTTACCCTTAGAATTCAGCTACCTCAGACAGGAGTAAGACTGCTGGAAGACCAGTCACCACTACCCTGTGGAAGATCACTGTCCAAGCAACTGCTTCTTTAAGTATTTTATATTTATGCCCTACACAGTTTGCATGAGGTGCTCTAAAACTACATTGTCCCTTACAGTGAGCCAGCAGGTATTTCTGCAATAGGCAGGCAGCCAACACAAACCACTCCGGTGACAGAAAGGTGAGTGGCAGTAATTCCAAAGGACAGCAGTGTCTCCCACCTGCACAAGCATCAAGCAAAGCAAACAACGTGCAATATTTCCAGCCAGTAAGTCAGCTTAAAAAGGTGCTAGCTTGGTGAAAGGCACACCTATGAAATGCAGGAAATAAAAGCAATAATAAGTACCTTTTACACACTTAAGCCATTAACTGTCTCAATGTGAACACAATTTTGTTGATACCAAGGAAGGATTTAAGGGTCTAAATTTATTTTCTTTCAGTTAAACATAATAAAAGGAATTAAAAAGTTAATCAATGAGCTGTTTAAGGACAGAAATTCCAGCCAGATTTTATGCAGTTTCTATTTCTACTACCTTTCCCCAACAACCTCAATTACTAATCCTGCTATTCTAAAGGTAATTCAGGAAGCAAAAGAATCTTAAAAGCCTTGGAAAATGAGGCATCATTGCTAAAGGAAGCAAACACATTCCCCATCTCTTTTCAAGGGAAACGTGAGACTTTTAGATCCCATTAACGTTTTTTTAAAGTATTATTACACACACTTGTGTGCAATAACACACCTGTTATTACCAATTTGGTATCAAACCCACACATTCTTACATATAAATTTAGACAAAAGTGGCAGGCAGACAAGTGTCCATCAGTAACTGTATATCCAGCTTCAAAGAAACATAAACAAGCATTTCAGAAATCCGAATAACTTTGGTTTTGACTTTCCCAAGAAACAAAAAAAGAATTTTGAAGGAACTAGACAATTATGCTACAAGCAGCCTCAACAAATGAGGAGAAATTCTTTCGTTTTCAGCTCCTCAAGCTCTTCCTGAAGAAGTCAGTGAATCAAACACAAGCATTTGCTTTGAAATGCTTGAATCTAACAGAGACTAAGTTTTGCAAAAAACACTCCAAATGTAAGCACATTCCCAGAGCTGTGAAACAGAAGCATGCATGAAAACAAAACACACCTAAGCAAACACAGCTTCTCATACAGATTTCTTCCATTTTGTGGCAGGACAGGCATGCACCTACCATCTATGCTCAAAGGTTTTATAGCTATTGTTAAGAAATTCTGTCCACGTTTACATAAATGGTCATTTAAGATGCATATTGCTTCTGTCCCCCTTAGACATGGGGAAAAAGAAATTATAAAACCAAACCTGTAAAAATCATTTTTCCCCTGCTAACACAGCTGTCAAACTCACAACCAGTTTATCTGCTAAGACTTGTGAGTGGAAAGAGCTTTCTGTTCAACCAAAAATAAAGATACGCTTCTGCTTAGTCACACAAGGCTTGATCAATCTTGCTCATTTGTCCTGTGCACAGGGAAATACCCAAAATAGATCTTGTGGCTTAGTACTCACTTGGGTTAAAGAGTCAAGCACTTAATAAATATTACAGATATGTTACTATCACCTAAAAAATGACAGAGAAGTCACAAACATATTGTTTGTACTGGGTTGAGGCATCACAGTTACAGAAATAACTTAAAAGAACTGTAAAATCTTGTCTGATCACTTGTGGAAAATTTTAACTACTTGCACAAAGCCCAGCAGCTCTTAGTCAGCAATTCAGAGCACTGAAAGATAAAAAAGGAATAGATATTTTGAGGTGCCAGTTTTGTCCTTCACTTGAAGCAAAGACAGAAACACTGATAGCCTGAACAGTCTCTGCTGAAATACCAGACTACCTGACAGCAAGATGTTACGCAAAAAGTTCATTCTTTCTCAGGTGCCAATGTACACCTTTTAAGATAAATACACCTCCCTGAAATACAGCAGCCTCTATTGCTGTGCAACACACACAGAAAAATAAAATGCTAAACACTCACTCTGGAGCATATGCCCAGCTCATCTTGAAAAACACTACATGGAAGTGCATACAAAACACTTTTCTACAGCAACCACAGATACGCTACCACACCTCGTCTAAACACCAAGATTAGTATGCACTGCCACAGTTCAGGCAGCATCAGTGGAAAGCAGTTTTTGGATTTCAATCCAAAAACTGCAGACTCCAGTGAAAAGCAAATGTACCTGGCTACTATGCAAACACACAAACACTTCTTGTTGCCTGTAAACTCTGCCATCTGAGAATAATGCCTAAGAACAATACGTCAATATACTTCTGACTTACTTTACTCTGGTAACTTAAATGCTTCCTTCGGTCATGACAGCAATGAACTCATGAATCTCATTTATCACTTGCCACTGATAAAATTTTAAGTTAATGCACCTGAATCAGAATAAACTGAGTCTTTTCTACTACAGTTCTACAGTTTTTCAACAGAACTAGGCACAGGTGCACACCAGTGCTAATGGAGAGAAAGCAAACTCTACACGCAACCCATCTAGTGATGATGGAGACAACAGACCTAAACAGCAAATCAGAAAACAACATTAAATATTAAACACACAAAAACTCATCAGCCACAAACGCTACCGGGGGTGTTAGGCTGGAATCCAACAACGGCACAGCCTGAGCTCTCCAGAGCAGGGGAGCCAGAGGAGGCTGTCCTGGCTCAGGGGAATGCCCAGGGCACACAGCAGAGGAGAGAGAGGGAGGCCATCAAGAGCAGCGGCCCAGCGCCCCGCACTCACCCCGTCAGTGGCTGCTGTGTGGGATGGCGGGGAGAAGCGCCAGGGCGGCCGACCCGCGCTTCCTCGCCCAGGAGCTCGACGGCAGTGACGGCCCCGCCGACGGTGAACCAGTCCCGGCCCTGGCCCTCGGTGAGTTTCCGCAGCATGGCGGGGATGGCGGCCCCAGCACGCGGTCCGGTGCCGCCGCCCTTCCCAGCACGGGCACACCCTCCCGCCCCCGCCCGGCACCGCCCCGCCCCGGCGGGAGCGCTCCCGGCGGCGGTCTGCCTTCCCTTCGCGCACCCTTCACCTGGGGCTGCCGGCCGAGCTCCTCTAAACCGACCCCTAAAATTTATTAAAGCCTTCCTTAGAAAGGCAGGACATACAGACACAGACCAGAAGTATACTGGGTCTAACACTAAGGTCTGTCATCACTACGGGGTAAATTTCAAAAGAATAGGAACGAAGATAAATGTTGCACTTCCCTTTCATCGTGTCATCCTCTCTTCTGAAATAATTGCAAACATCTGAATGTAATTTGTTAAATCAAACAAATAATGAAAACCAATATGAAAACAGGATAGACCCTTACTTTCTCTAATAGGATTTATCATCTCCACACTGAGTACCTGACTCAGTGCAGGCATTTGTCTGCTTTAGAACTGTTACTGTCAGATAGGTAAATACAAATCTAGGCTATATGTAGACACCGCCTCTTCTTGCTTAATGTATCAGCCTCAAAATCCTAAATTAATGAAAGAATGGGATTTTCCTCACTAAATTTTCAAGAGGTTTTTAAAGTCTTAAATTAAAGAGGCAGTGTACATGCAGTATTTTGACATAAGTTATGGTTCTATATGAAATGCAAAAAACACCCATGTAAGATCCAAGCAGTCTTGTTTGCTCTGTGTGATAAAGCTCTTGTGTAGCAAATCTATACTCCTGCAGATTATGTAAATCAGTCACAGGGAAAGTAAATGCAGTCTGTGATCCCACTAAGGCATTTTAACACACGATAAAGGTCTGAGCTCTGCTTTCCTTTCACAGCCTCGGGAGGCCTGGGCGGTCATTCCCCCATCACCCCACAGAACAATGCCTGAGCACAGCTCTGGAATTCCAGCCACCCTGTCCTCCTGCACCTGGAGGAAACGGCCTGCAGAGCACGTAGTGCTTCAGACTTCATAAATATGGCCCAGCGGGTGCCTCCCACTCCTCCAGGACAAGCTGTTCCCTAAGGGACATAGGGAACTGCATAGAATGTGACAGGCCCTTCCCGGCATTGTCCTGGCACGGGACCGGGACCGGCTGCGCTTGTTCTTGGGAAGCAGGACTTGAGGTGAAGATTTACACTGGAAGAACAATGCCAGCAGATCGAGGGAGGTGGTCCTACCCCTCTGCTCAGCCTAGGGGAGGTGAACATGGAGTTTTGTGTCCAGTTCTGTGCTCTTCAGTGCAAGAGGAATGTGGAGATCCTGGAGCAGGTCCAGTGGAGGACAACAGATAATGACTGGGCGCCTGGAGCATCTCCCTTATGAGAAAAGTCTCAAAGAACTGGGCCTGTCCAGCTTCAAGAAGAGACAACTGAGAGGAGACCTCATCAGGGTGTAAATATCTGAAGGGAGGATGGCAAGAGGATGGAACCAGGCTCTTCTCGGTGGTGCTGAGCGATAGAAAAGAGGCAATGGGCAGAAACTGATGCACAGAAGTTCCATCTGAACATGAGGAAGAACTTCACTGTGCAGAGACCACACACTGGAACGGGTTGCCCAGAGAGGTGTGGAGTCTCCTTCACTGGAGATATTAAAGAACTGTCCGCATGCAATCCTGTGCCACGTGCTCTGGGATGACCCTGCTCGAGCAGGGAGCTTGTTCCAGGTGCCTCACTGCGGTTCCTTCCTGCTTGACCTATTCCGTGATTCCGAGGGAAGCGGGGCTGGCACCGCCACGGTGCGAGGGCGCTCCGGTCCTCCGCGGCCCTAGGGGGCGCTGCTGTCCCCGCCCGCCGCGCGTCCTTTCCCGGCGCACCCCGCGGCGGCAGCGGACCCGTCCCCGTTCCCGAGTGTGACCTTCGCCGCTCCCCTGCCACGGTGGGTCTGGGCCCGGCGAGCCCCGGCTGGGTCCTTGCGGGCATCGCTCGGGGGTGTTTCGGGTGGGGGCAGCGCTGTTCAGCTGGCAGGGCTAGAAGGGAGAAAGGGAGCGCGGCCCGCGGCGCTGGACCTTTGCCGTTACCGCGCCGCCCCCGTGCAGCCGGTCGGGGCTCGGGCAGGTGCCCCGGGCTGCGGCGGGTTGTGGCGGGGAGGTCAAGGACACAGCAAATACAGCGTTGTTCCGGGTAGAGATCAGGAAAAAAAATACTTAGAACGACATCGCGCCCGCGCAGGCCCTGGGGAAAGGTCTGTGCCGGGCTCTGGCACGGTGTGAAGTGGAAACAGCACCGCTTGCTCCCTGTGTTCTGTAGCGCTGGGGAAATCTTTCCTTCCAGTTCTGTTCAGTCTCCTTGTTTGTTAGTCTGTCTTGGAAAGTCTGCTATAGCAGAGTAACTGTTTGTGTTCCACTGTTCATCTGAAACTACAATCCCTGGAAATACAGGTGAGCAGTGTCATTAATGCAGTGTCGTTAATAGTGTTGGTGAAAGGTGTTTCAGGAACTTTTGCCACAATAATAAATTATTGAAATGACTGTCCAAAAACAAATTAAATGTGGGTTTGTCTGTAATTATATATGAATTGCCTCAAAGTTGCTTTAATTCTTTAAGAAACACCTAGATTTTTCCAGTTGTCTTGACAGTGTTTGTTCTTGCACCCTCTCCTCTTAGAGAGGAGATGCTTTACCAGACAATGCTTTACATTTAAAGATAAGTGAGCATTACCTCAGAGAAATTTAACTCTGCTTTTCTTCCCTGGGTCTGTGGTTTACCATGTGGTGCCTATATGCGTGTATAGCTGATTTAATAGGGTTGTAATAAGCACCAATAGTGACTATTGAGTGTGCATAAGACATGGGGTATCTCAGTGCATTGTGGTGCGAATGTGAACTGACATTTATGGGAGTTAGGAGAAGCTTTATTTTAAAACCTCCTGCAATTTTCTCTTTGTCTTACAAAGCTGCATGGAAGGGAAAAAGCTGCTAACACTGACAGGCTTCTTGCTCATGGGGTGTATTTTGAAAGTCAAATAATCATGATAAAACATGAATTCATTAGCTTAACATCATTTATGTTGCTATTTTGAGTAGAAATTACCATGCTGGAAGAGACAGCTTTGAGGGAGGGAAGCTAAATTGGTAGTGCAAGGAAGGAGCCTCTCTGGCTTGTCTGGAATGAGACTTCCTCCTGAGGGAATCTGGAAACTTCAGGAAAAAGCTGTTACTGATAGGCAGAGAGAAGTTTATCTGTTGCTGCTCTCTAAATGTTCATCTTTTAACCCTTTCATCAATAGTAATTTTAATTTTTTTGTGTGTTAGCCCATAAATTGTACACCTTAACTCTGAATTTTAATTTCTTTGCTTTGGAATAAGTACGTCTGCATGCTTGGGGATTTTTTTAAATTTGTAAACTGCTGCTAATATGCATCATGAGTGTGTGTATATACATAAAGATAGATGAATATATGCATGGGTGACTTTATGTATGTTAAAAATCCAGCAGGTAAGAATACAGCTGCAAAAGTTAAAATGACAACACTTTTTATAATTTTCAGATGGTGCAGGCTATGATTCCAAAGGCATTGAAACCCATGAAATTCTACTTCTCTACTGTTTATCAAGAAATATGGGTTGGTGTAGCATTAACAACTTATGCCTACTACAAGATTTCCTATGGGGGTAAGTCACACATTATAGTCTTTTTTATACAAAATAATATCCACAACAGGAATCAGTCATTGAAAATAGTCAGCAAGTAAGAAATTAACATTCTTCCTTAGGGTTACATCTTTGCTGTAAAAATGTAGGTGTTTTAAATGCTGATTGTAGATGGTTCCACTAACAAAAATACTCAAATGTCAGTGTAACTGTGCTTACAATATGAAGATTAGGTAATGTAGTATTGGTTGTTAAAATGCAGATCTAACTTAGTTGCTCGAGATTTTGAAAAAAAAGTTGTTTTAAAAAGATTTTCTCACATGAACATGTGAAAGTGTATTTTGGGCTGATGGCATCTCAAAATGAGAGCTGCATCACTGAACACGAGCATGTGTGTTACTTGATTACACTGGATGACTTTCTCAAAGAATGAAACAGGATATCTAATGTAAAAATAATAAATCTGAATGGGCCAGGTTCCTTAAAGCAGAAGGGTACAAGAGATTATAGGGTTTAAAGGTCCTGTTTGTCAGTTTAGGCTATGCTCAATAAATCCCAAGTCAAACCCTCTACTGGGTGTTGTGAGCAGTGAAGTGTTTTAAGTCAGATAAAGGAACCCCTTGCTGTGGGAGCAGCTGGAGGTACTACCTCAGTATTGCTCTAGCTTTGTCCAAATAATGTGTAGCATTCCAAAACTGTTACACTGCACTTAAAAGTTTAAGTATATATAAGTAGTTGATCTTAATGGGTATTTAATGACTGTTAAGTAAATATGAGTAGTTGAGATAGGAAGAAAAAATAAGTTTTTACTTTTGATTTAACCTTTTATTTCAAGCAGCGTACAAAGTGGACAGACTGTTTCAAACTTTTCTTCATGTCATGCTATATTAATTCATGCCTGGTGTAGATTTTCAAGGCCAAAAAACCTGGAAAATGGCAACTGTATGCTAAGCTTTATTTGAAAGGGAAAACAGTTTTTAATAGCTGTAGCCCTTTCTGCACTTTGGGGGATAATTTTGCAAATAATATATGGAATTACAGAAGAGTATGTTGTAGGAGAAATCAGATTGGAAGGGACCAAACCAGTGCTTGAAGCAGTTAGATCCCAGTTAGATCAGGTTGCTTATTACCTTATTCATAATTTAAGTGAGTATTTCCAAGGATAGAGATTGTACATTCTTTTATAAAAGTCTTCCTTATGAGGAATTTTTTTTTCATCATTGTGACCCAGTGTTTTAGGAGAACAATTACAATGGGAATGTAAAATACAAAGGAAAATTTTAAAGCAAATGTTTCACTTCAGTTTACATCCATACCTTGTGTGTGTATATACCCATATATTATGTAAAACAGTAACATTCCATAA